AGCAGCAACCACTTCTACCAAGTTCTGTAAGTGGATTTTGTTGCAACAGACGACTGGCAGACATACCTTCCACATAGGTCATGTCCCGACTTGCCTTCTGCCCTCTGAGTACCTGAACATGCCTCTAGGATCGGGTCTCTTTTCTACCTGATCTCTGGTGCCCGAAAGATATAAAGAAGACTGTACGGGATCCGAGATCCGAGAAGAACTGAAATAGATTAAAAATTCATTAGAATGTTGATAAATAGTCTGGGACCCTAAAAAATGGATCGAGGGCTGACCTTTCCAATCTCGGTAGGTGTTGAACAAATTAAAGGCGAGCATTCAGATGGGGATCTAGCCTGGAGCCCTGGCTTGATTTATTTATCTGCATAGGGCGGCCTTTGTTTCGGACTTGACCTCAAGTGGTGTACAAGTATTTTCCTCCAATATTTGTGAATGCAATTCAATATCTTCGTATCACAAAAAGCTCAACAATGTTTGCTTTTGTTTTAGTGACCAAGTGTGAGACGTTGTCTGTCTTTTGTATTTCTTTTTTTTTTTCCAACTATTTTGGCACGAAGTTGGCTCCCCCAACAAGAAATTCTACTTTATCGGAATTCCAGACTAGAGCTCTATTGTTCGGCTTTGGCAGCGCCACTTTTTGTGGTATTGGCAATGGCGTCAGAATCGTTTACATATTTTTTTTGCCATTGGCTCCGAGGAGGAAAACTATGCTGACGGAGCCTGTGAGCCGGGGAACTGCCTTGTTGATTTGCTTTTAATTTTGCATAAATATGCGCGATTCGAAGGGTAGGAGGATGATGCTGTCAGTTGCAGAGTCTGAGTTACTGACAGTCTGCGAGGTGGATTATTTTACTAAACATCTATGTACATATATGTATGGCTATAAATATACAGTGCAACCCAAAGAATGCAAACATTCTGAAATAAGCATAAAATGGGACTAAAACTTCTTAAAAAATATTCATTTTTATAGAGCACTGAATACATTGTTTAAAAATTAATAAAATACTGGAAATATTATTCTTTTGCATATGGACTTTAGAAATATTCCACTGTATCTTTAAGCCACTGCCACTGTAGTCTTTAAGAATTCATGAATGCAACAATTTCTGCATTGCTGGCACTTTAATGGATAAAATTTAATTCAGGGAATTTTCTTGTGTCACACTCGACTTCTTGAATCGCCACAGAATGGAGTGATCTCCGTCGCGTTTCGCTTTCGATTTTTTTTTTTACTCTGGGGGTCTGGTATCGTGTTTGCCACTTTGGTCATTTAATAAGCGATCTCTTGATTGAATTAATATGCCACTGTTGGCCAGTTCAGATGCACATGAACTCGGATCGTAGACTGGCAGAGAGTTAATTGAATTGAAAGTGCAGTTGCAGTTGCAGTGGTGAACTTTTCAACTTTTCAACGCCATTCAAGTGCTTCTGTATGAAAATAAGGGAGTATAATAAAATTTAATTGATAAAAATTTATATTTTCAAGTCGAGAATGTACTTCATTTTTTTATTTCACATTTTCTCATAGGGATCTTATAAATCTCACTTTTTGTTTTCGATTCATGATGAAATTCCTCCCTTTTATTTGATGTGGAAACAACTCCTTTGATCCTCCTCACATCGCTCCAGACATCAAACCGGATCATTTTCTTTCATATTCCCTTCTTGATGGCTCCGCTTCTATTTCAAAGATACGATCCACACAGACACACACCCGTAAACCCGTGACCCGCACTTTATAAAAAAGCAACTCCAATCTGAAAATCTTTTTCATACACATTTTTATCAAATATTTTCTATTTGCCCGACTCTTTTTCATGTTTTGTTTACATTCTCGTCTTTGGTGCTGGCCTGGCCGCCTTTCCGGCCGATGTGGAATGCGAAGCAACACCATCCACCATACCAACACACCACAGATACGTTTCGTATCTCACAGATACGTACGAACTCTTGTGCCGCTACTGCAGGCCGCCGTCTCGTTTTCGTCGATTTTGTCGTTTTCGCCTTTTATTCTCGTGTTTGTTTTGCGCTGTGCCTTCATCCCTCGGTCCGCTTTGTGCTCGGTTGGATCTTGTTGGCGACGGCTGGCTGGCTGACTGGCTCGTTGGCATCCACAATCGTAGGTAAAAACATTTTCCAAGCGTGTTCCAAGCCGTCAACTTCATCGGCTGCCGCGAGCGGACAACAGCGACGGCGCGACGTATCTGCGAGATACAAATACTCGTACTCCCTTCCGCTATCCGCTGTATCTCCTCCTCAGTGCTGTGTGTGTGTTGTGTTTGTTCATTACATAGAAATAATGTAAATTTTTAAAGCAAGTGCGAGGTGTTAGCAAAGCTACTAAACCCTCCAGGAAACCAAAATCAAAAACCTAAAACCTCAAATGCTCAACGGAGCGCAGCTGTGAACATTTCACTTTCGGTGCATCCAACAGATACCAGTGCAATTGTTGCACGCCGCTCCAAATTTGCAACGCAAAGTTGCAAATCGGTCTGGTCATTGGCTTTTGCCTTTCGGCATAAAAAAACACAGCCAACACAGAAGAAACCTTTTGCCTTTTTGCTAAAAGAGATGCAATGTTTTATACTCGCTCTTTGAGATACTTTTCCTATCCGTGTATTGGTTGAGATACCTTCAACATGCTAATTTGCGCCACCTCGGCAGCACCGAAAACTATATGGGAGTGTAAAGTATCTGGCGGAGCCACTCGATGACGCCTCGCTCAGATATTTATCTGCCAGAACGCATTTGCATATTCAAATCAAATACTAAAGATCGAAAACGAAATCGAAACCAAATACGCAGACGCAGTGAAGTTGCAGTAAATAATATTTAGCGTATTTATAAATTATTAGCTCAGCTGTGGGGTTTTCCACGGCCGAATACAAATGTTAATAAATTAAAATATTGAGCCAACAGTTGAAGATGACATCAGCGTTGACAGTGCACCGAAATATAATTATCGCGAAAGTAAAAAAATAAAATAGGCATTATTTCTTCTCTTGTTAATGATTCCCATTCTAATGTTTATTTTTTTCGGGGTCTTAAAGTGTAAACAAGTGAAACCCAAATGAGATTATACTCTCCATAAATATGCCATACGAAACCAATTAAATTATCAAATAATTGCTTTGATTCGTTCAAAGTGCATTATCTGAGAAACATTTCTATTTGCGGCAAACGAAACCAAACAACATCAAACACCAATATGAAGTTTCCGGATTATGTTCCCAACAATATGCTGGTGGTAAGCAAAATCGGTGGCACACAACTTATTTATCTTATAATTAAAGTCATTAGAGTGGTTACCAACTGGGTCATAAATCAGGGTGCTGTGACTTAAATTATGACTAAACAGAATGGTTGGAAGAGATCCGGCGACCGAGAACCGAACAAGAACTTTGTAGATAAGCAATCTGAGCATTAGATGATGAAGGTTAGCTCACCGGGAATCGGCCTATGCCTTGTTTACAAAATAGAAAACTTGACAAGATTAATTGTATCTCCTCATATGACGTCTTTGCGGCTCCGATTCAATAAAGAAAGCCTTTTCCGCACGCGGCTGCACACCATTAAATTTCCAACTAATTTCACTTGCAATTAAGTTAATTATAATTTTACCGCCCCCATCAAAATGTACCAGCTCGGCAAGATATTCCATAATTCTTTTTTTATACTTTGGCTTTGCTCTGCTTGCTTTTTTGTGAACTGCAAACGAAGCATAAACCTAAAAATATGAATATGAAAAAGATCTCAAAGGCAGATGCTGAGTCGGTCTGATGCAAATTCACGCACCTGCAGATGCAACCGAAATAAAGTTTATAAATATTTATAAACTTTTAGTCTGGCAGGCTCCATGACTGACTGCCTGGCCCACGCGAGTCTCACAAATTTGTATTTTGTTAGTTAATTTTGTTTATCTCTCTATTGTTTATTATTTATACATATTATACTAGGCCCAGCAGACGACAGCCCACACGGGGAATGCTCTTTTCGAGTTTTATTTTTTTAGTAATTGGATGCGTCGTGTTGCGTCGTCTGTCGGTTAAAATAATTTTTGTGGCGCCCACCTGAGGCCAGCATTAAATTTTCGCTTTTATTTTTAGGGGATTGGCTGGCTCGCCGACAGATTTGAAATTGATTGCAGTTGAAAATGGTTTTTTTGTGAAGTGGTTCCGCCGATTGAATGAATGAATGAATCATATGGCGAATGCATGGCAGGATTTGGAAACAGCTTGATGGGATTTTGCTTTAATTGATTTATCTTCATTTTATATTGGATTTGTGTAATGATTGAGTTGGATCTCTCAATTGAGTTTACCCATATCTGATGGATTAAATGGGGGTTGGGCCTCGAATCCAGTTCCCGCTGTGAGGGTAAAATAAATCGAACCGAAATGAGTTGTAATTGCAGGTGGTAAATGGGGAATAAAACTAGAATACAAAAATGCTATTGAACATATATTTAATTGGAAACTAATGATTAAAATAGGACATCAAAAGGATTGTAGATTTTGTTACAAATCCATCGTAAATCAAACAAAGCTTTGTGTCAGGTGCATTCATCACAAAACAATAAATAGACACTGTAGATTTACATAAAAACTCCACTATTGTATTGTATTTTTCTCGTTTTTTGAACTATGAAAGGGGTGGTCTTTTTACGCATTCTGGCCCGGAACCCCCAGTGCATAAAATTGAATCGTGTCCGAGTGAGTGAATGTTCATGGGTCGTTTGTGGGCTTGGGCAACAGGTCGCAGTCAGACATTGGCTCACAAATACATATAAAATGAATTGAAAAACGGAAGTCACATGTGCATTTCCGCCTGGCAGCCATCCTTAACAAATTCCAATTAAATTATATTGAAATAAATTGGGAAAGGCAAAGACATAAAAGTCATGTTGTGCTTTTGAAGTAAAAGTTTAGTTTTTCTAAAAAATGCATTTATTTTTAAAATGGCCAACTAAAATGTAATTTCCTTTCTTCCAGGGCGATCGAACCACTTGGGAGTACCACACAGTTGCAGTCACCCGGGTGCCGGGTTATGGCTTCGGCATCGCCGTTTCCGGTGGACGTGATAATCCGCACTTCGCCAACGGAGATCCATCGATAGCTGTTAGCGATGTACTCAAAGGTGGCCCCGCCGAGGATCGATTGCAGTAAGTATCGAAGAACCTCTCCATGTACTCAAGATGACTCAACAAAAGTTGAGTGACCAGACGGTTGGATGTCTGAAATTATACCCAAGCAGGAAACTAATTGTTGTTCGGGATATGTCCGACATGCCGTTGATGATGCAGTCTTCAATATACCCCCATTTGCCAGTTGATCAAACAAAGTGCAGACTAAGCATTTCCTATTTGTCAAGAACTAAGTATATATGTAGATCCCGACCCTCCCAAAATGAAAATGAGCATTTAAAATTCTCATCAGGCTGTCGACAATTGACATCGTTAATCTTGGGCTTAGAACTTTATTTTTTCTTCACTTTTTTTCTATCTCCACTCCTTTGAAAATAAACCCCCAAAAATGCGCACGCTTCAATACTTCGACTCACGTAGAGGTTCTCAAGTCAAATAAAAAATATAATTAAACCAAGCAGTCTCGTCGCCAGCTTAAACTCCAGCTCGGTCTCTCTGAAGCTGATAAAAATTCCAAAGCGTTTTTCAATCGACAACACCGACCCGACCCGAACGACAGGCCGGCCGGCCGGGCCAGGCCAGGCCCTTTTCCCCATCTACCAAATAACCAAGCCAAGTGATTAAAAACTTGTCATAATCTTTTTTCCAAAGAAACTATTTACACTGGCCCTAGACAAGCAAAGAACAATTTTCAGGTTTTCTCTTACCTGTGCTGGGTCGTTGAGGCCCAAGAATTTCAAAGGGAAAATCCCGTTGCTAAGGCTGGAAAAGTATTTGCCAAGTGCGCGGCGGCAAGTGGAAATTGGCTAAAGACCAGCACATGTCATTTCAGTTTGCCTGTAAGCATGTGGGATCGTTATAGCCAAAGTTTTACCTTTATGCAGCTTACACTGAGACAAACAGCATAGATTTTAAAGCCTTCTAAAAATATACCCTTTTTAAGCATTTTTTAAAGCGTTAACCAAGTTACCCAACCCAACACCAACCAGCTAATGGCATTCCAAGCCGCATTTTTGCCAGGCTTAATTGTTAAGCCTTCTTGTTTAAACCAAAAACTGAAAAGGTTCCAAGCGGCGAGTCGAAAGTAAAATGCGACTTAGTTTGCTTTCGGTACTGCCTTCTTTCTGCACTCGTAGACAGCTTAATTATAGATGTGTTTCGGCTCAGACATGCAATATAATTTCTATCATTAACCACTTTGTCTGCCGCGACGATACCTACATTCGTGTACATACAATATACTTATTTCTTGTATTTGTTGCCCTCAAACATAACATTCTTGTGTCGTTAATTCGTCATGTGCTATTTACTGCCAACATTTTTACTTTTCATTCCTTCGGATCTCTGTTCCGTTCCAAGAACGGTCCATAATTGTTCAGGTCTGCACAAACAAAGCGTATTCCGTAGAAATTTACGGAAGCCGCTTTGCAGACACCTCGATTCTTCATGATTCTCAGCTCTATTACTTCCAGGCTAGTCATGCTGAAGTGCCGAGACAATTGCCTGTTTATTAGCGTATGTCTTCAATCCAAGTCTAACCTGATTTCATTTCAAGTTGTTGGACCTCGGACCTCGGAGCTGGGTTTATTTATACCTGCTCAGATAGTATTACACTCCAATGATCCGAAACATTTTGTTGTTACAACTGAAAGAGGGGTTTTGATACTCTTCTTTTGTAATGACAGAAATAAGCTATCTATTATTATACAAATATTAACCCTGCACCTTTCCAAGGGCTCTCATATCTTTTAATTATGGCTGCAAGTTAAAACACTTTGTAGAACTGAGCAAGGTCGTCGCTAATGACCTGCATCACACTAAACAGAAGCATATACTTTTCCAGTTTGGTCACGATTCGGTCATTAGTAGACATTTTACGATCCAACCGACAATTACCATCAGAGACCAAGTGATCCATATACCAGATACTAAACCTTTTCTTTATTTCGTTTCCCTACTTGCAGAGTCAACGATCGGATTATATCGGTGAATGGCGTTTCCCTGGAGAACGTGGAGTACGCGACGGCGGTGCAAGTGTTGCGGGACAGTGGCAACACTGTGCAGCTTGTGGTGAAGAGGCGCGTGCCACTGAATCCCGTCACGCCGGGTGGTGCGGCGGTGCAGCACCAGCACTCGCACAGCCTCAGCTCGGTGGGTCTGATGGCCAATGGTGGTGGCGTGGCGCCAACTCCCATGACCAGTCTCAGCCAGCCGAACTCACTGAACTCGTCGCTGGTGCAAAATGCCACCGGAGGTCAGCCCATCAAGGTGACGCTCACGAAAGGCGGCAAGAAGGATGACTACGGCGTGGTTCTGGGCTGCAGGCTGTTTGTCAAGGAGATCTCCTCGAAGGCCAGGGAGCAGCTGAACGCCAATGGCTATAGCCTCCAGGAAGGGGACATCATTACACGCATCCACAACACAAACTGCGGCGACACCATGAGCCTAAAGGAGGCCAAGAAGATCATTGATGGCTGCAAGGAGCGTCTGAACCTGGTGGTTCTCCGAGACATCACCAACCAGGCGGCTGTGAGCCAACTGAATCTTAACAACTCGACCAGCCATCAGTCAGCATCGGGAAATATTTATGCCAGCCATCAGGCACAGGTGTCCGGCTGCAGCAACGGCAACAACAACCTGGAGGACCCGTATCTGCCAGGAGGGGCCAGCTACTCCTCCCAGAACCTCTATGTTCAGCCACCAACCCGAACCTCGAACGGCCCCAACATGAATGGCAATGTCCTGAACGAGGAGAAGAGCAATCTGACACCCAGGGGCAGATCGAGAGGTCCCTTGATGGATGGTGTCTCCCTGCAGCAACTGGACAGACCAGTGACCCCAACTGGTCGTGGCCGAAACGGTGTTGCCTCCGATGAGCCACCACGTCCGCCGCCACCGAGGGGATCCAGTGGCGGAGCCGCCCAGGAAGACTTCTACAGTTCCCGAAGACAGCTCTACGAGGAGCGCCAGAGTGCCGAGCCACGGTTCATATCCTTCCAAAAGGAAGGAAGCGTTGGCATTCGTCTAACTGGTGGCAACGAAGCCGGAATCTTTGTGACAGCCGTGCAGCCAGGATCTCCAGCCTCGCTCCAGGGTCTAATGCCGGGAGACAAGATCCTGAAAGTCAACGACATGGACATGAACGGTGTGACCCGAGAGGAGGCCGTGCTCTTTCTGTTGAGTCTCCAGGATCGCATCGATCTGATTGTTCAGTACTGCAAGGAAGAGTACGATGAGGTCGTGACCAACCAGCGTGGCGACTCTTTCCACATCAAGACCCATTTCCACTGCGATAATCCATCCAAGGGCGAAATGGCCTTCAAGGCGGGCGATGTCTTCCGGGTGATCGATACCCTGCACAACGGAGTCGTCGGCTCCTGGCAGGTTCTGAAAATAGGACGAGGACACCAGGAGATGCAGCGTGGTGTGATTCCGAACAAATCGCGAGCCGAGGAACTGGCCACCGCTCAGTTCAATGCCACCAAAAAGGAGATGAACGCCAATGAATCGCGTGGAAACTTCTTCCGGCGAAGACGGTGAGTTAACCAAATAAAGAATTTCTAAATTAGTTACTTAATTTGACTTTTATTTTAATCCTTATAGCTCCACGCATCGCCGTTCGAAGAGTCTGTCCCGCGAAAACTGGGACGATGTGGTATTCTCCGACAGCATTTCCAAGTTCCCGGCCTACGAGCGCGTGGTGCTGCGACATCCTGGATTCGTGCGCCCCGTTGTCCTCTTCGGACCCGTCTCCGACTTGGCCCGTGAACGCCTGGCCAAGGACTTCCCCGACAAGTTCTCGACCCCATTGCAGGACGACGACAAATCCGCCGGCAGTAGTGGAAAATGCCGCATTGTGCGGCTCTCGAATATACGCGATGTGATGGATCGGGGCAAGCACGCCCTGCTGGACATAACCCCGAATGCGGTGGATCGTCTCAACTATGCCCAGTTCTATCCGGTGGTCATATTCCTGAAGACGGACAGCAAGCACGTGATCAAGCAACTGCGTCATGGCCTGCCCAAGGCGGCCCACAAGAGCTCCAAGAAGCTGCTCGAGCAATGCCAGAAGCTGGAGCGCGTCTGGTCGCATATCTTCAGCACTCAGATTGCCCTGAGTGACGAGGAGTCCTGGTATAGGAAGCTGCGCGATTCGATCGATCTGCAGCAGAGCGGCGCCGTCTGGATGTCCGAGTCTAAGGTGAGTCTTGACTTTCTAATCAGACCCAGGGATGCCATTTCCATCCTAGTTGTTGTCTGCGTGTTGTCCACTGTTGTAGTTAGTCTCTAAGTATGTCCTAAAGCATCTTCTGGATGTTGTCTTAATGGTGTCCTAACTATCTGAATAGGTGATGGAAATTTTCAAATTTGTAGTGATGGAAACTAGTGCATATATTTTGACAAAATATATAATTAAAAAAATATGAATGAAATTATCAAATATTCTTTTAAAACATCAAATACCCAAAAAACCTAAATTTTTATAAATATCCGAACCACTAGATTTTACTACAAAGCTCTAAACCTTTTTTACTTTTAAACTTTAAACATAACTCTTTACTTAGATGAAACCCCCTTTTTGAAAGCAGTATCTCCTCCTCTTAAATAACAATGATTATTATGTTGTAGTCCTTAAACTAATTTTAATATTCTATAACTATTTAATTTTCTACAACTGGTTATGGTCAATATTCTAATTTTTACTTTCCAAACTTTTTCTTATTTGTTTTTTAAACACACACAACACACTTCACACACATAAAACCATGCCCATGATTGTTGTCGAAACTCAAAAAATAAAAAATTGATTAATTAAAAAAATAACAGTTCCCCGATTCCCCCACCGAAATGCTATTCCCTCCCTACATCGCCCAACCGTGCCAGTTCGCCTGCTGCCGCCCCGTTGCATCGACCTCAGTGCCACGCTACTCTCAGAATCTGAATCTCGGCCAGAGCCACAGCAAATCCTTTACGCTGATCCAGAGCCAGGATACCACAACCCCGCCGCCTCGTCCCCCACCTGTGGTCTATGCCCACAGCCAGAGTCTGGCGGAAAAGCCAAGAAATCGAAGATCCTATACGATGGTTCCGATCATAAAACCGGCCACTTCCATGCCTAGTGGCTTGGCTCCAGCCACCACGGCTGATGTGCCCATGAGCCAGCCCTTGGACGACCATGTCCTGGCTTTAGATGGAGCCAATTCCAGCCAGTACCACAGTTCGCAGCCCAATTTGCTGAGCAATAGCTTTGCCAGCACCCCCAAGCACTCCAGCTTGAATCTGAACGGAGGCAGTAGCACCAATGCCGTGAACCAAACGCGGGGATTCCAGCCTGGCTCTTGTCCTGCCGGTCCTGTCAGCCGCTATGGCTTGCGTCAAAACGCCCCAGTGGAGCGTCGAACAACGCCCTACTATTACCACGAGTTGATGCTGCAAAAGAACATCTTCGATTCGAGTTTGAATCTTTTGGATCAAAATAAGAACAAGAACAGCAATCTGCAGCTGGAACAGCAGCAGCAGCAACAGCAGCGACTTGTAGATACAAATGTATCTAAGAGGACGCCGGCACCTGCGCCGATGGCCAAACCACAGCAGCGACTGATCGGCAATGGGATACCGGGAAGGAGCAGCTACTCCTCCTCCTCCGGTTCCCTCAGCAACCTCCTGGGCAACGGTCATGAGAGCAGCGATGGCACTCTGGCAGATGAGGGCAACTTCACCCTGGCCTTTAATAATCTCACAAATCAAATAGCCAGCTTAAATAATTCAAGTAGCATATCCAACAACCACATTAATAATAATAATAATAATTGTAGTAGCAACAACAACAACAATAGCAGCAGCAGCAACAACAATAGCAACATTAATAATGCTGATTCCAACAACAATGTTGGCCAAAGTAACGAATGCATTGCATGAGAATCGGTGTTAATTTAGTTGAAAAAAAAACCAAGTCCAAAGAACGGATATCATTCCTGTTGCGGCACAACTCTTTTCAACTGAATCCCCCAGCATTTTGAAGCCCTCGTTTGTAATTACTGCATGTAGTTGTTAATACTAAATTATTCATAAGACCAAACTCCCCCATCTAACCTGAGAAAGAACAATAAATTTGTGTGTAACCCGCTATTCGTTGTATGTACATATATAAATGTTATAGAAATATATGTGTAATTGTACGGCTAAAAGCATGTAGAAAATCTATGAATCATAACCTTAAGGGTAAGAATTTGTCATTCCATAAAAAAATCTAAAAGAGATTAATTTAAGAAAATAGAATGACAATTTCCCAATGCCCCCATCCAATTATCATCTCAATCATATCCTTAAAAAATCTCTCATACATACATATATTTAGGCTTAAGGCTCTACGCAAAAATATCCATACAAGTTTTTGCCAATATTTTTATAAAGTTGCTAACTAAATGTTTTTTCGTTTCATTTGTTTCTTTTATTTACATACCAAAACCAAAAAAAAAAACACCAAACCAAAACCAAAACAAATACACCATCATCATGGCCATTTCCCGCTTAATCACCCCGTAAAACTCGATGCATATATAATAAATATATATCCCCCAAATATACACCAAAATAATCAACAATGTCCTCGTCCAAAACTAAAAACATAAATATCAAATATCTTGTGTTCGTCCAAACATTACGTATCAAAAATGCTACGCAATCGAATCGAATCGTTCAATCAATCGAATCAACCAATCAATCATGGATTTGTTATGTTTCATCTACGTTTCTTGTTGCTGTTTTTGCGTTTTCATTTATTTGATTGAAAAAAAAACAAAATGTTGGTTGCTCTTCGCGCGCTAAATTTTAAAAAATCACAAAACCTTTTACCGCTAAAATTAAATTAACTTTTTGCCAAAAAAAATTTAAAAATTTGCGCCTAACCGAAACTGAATCATGCAATCGCCATCGAAACCCCAGCCCGTAGAATCCCTTTCCGATGATTTCCTATTCCCCATGACCACCTCCCGACTCTCGTATGCATCAAGTCCCGAATCCGATTTGGAACTGAGTCCCGGCCCATCCGCATCATTGTCGCTTGGCAATTTGCCGCAGTTGGTTAAAGCGAGCTCAGATCCATCGATTGCCACTAATCAGGATAACTTGGATAGGGATAGAGACATAATTGGTGAAGGATTGCCACCTCCATATACGGTAAGAGGTCGAAAAGCCAACAAAAATAAAAACCAATATCTTAAAACAACTAAAATATACATATCAACTAAGCATGCGCTTACACACTAAAAGAATTATCATATACAAAATAAAACCAGAAACAAGATAGTTCTCAAGACGGTTATCAAGCGCCCAAAATCAAATGGTTTTAACTTCATAAAAATAACAAATTTATTTAAACTCGACATTAAGCTTTGGTGATTTTTAAGAGTTAAAAAACGAGTTCAAGAAACTCTCTAAGAAAAGTTAAATAATTTATGAAAATTAACCAAAAATCGCCAGGGACTAATGTGGAGTCAAGAGTAAACCCTCTTTCCGAAATACAACTCGTATCAGTGTGCTAATCCGTGTCACCATTTCCTCTCCATCCACCTTGCAATGCACCTTGTTCAGGTACCCTACGACCATGGTGTCCCCGGGAACCCGAATCGCCGCCAGACCATGGAGTCCAGCCAATATAGCATCTACGGCACAAAGGTGCCGCAGCAGCAGCAGCCTGGAGGTGACCCGGCGGCCATCAGACCGCAATCTCTGTACGGGATTAATGCCCCAGACCTGCCGCCGCGCATCGATCGGCAATCGAAACCTGGAGATATGCCACTGAACACCTCAGGCTCGTCATCCCGGAACGGAACCCTGAGTCGAAGTGCCCAGGAGCGTCTATTTGGGAAAACCGTAGTGCAGGATGATGGCCAAGCCGAGTACATCACCCGGAATGCACTGGTTGGCTCAGGAGGAGCTGAAACCATGGAAAGGCAGCAACAGCAGCAGCAGACCCACGCCTCTCTGGAGCGCCAGGCACGTTTGAACGCCCAACTGAAGGCCAATGGAGGAGGCGGTGGTACCTCCACCTACGACAGCGTCTCCAGCTACGATTCATATAATAATTCCCAAATGGCCATGCAGAACCTGGGACGACTGGGTCCCAATGCACCCGACGATCTCAAATCAGTGCCAAATGCAGGGTAAGTTTATTAGACCATTTTTTAAGAAGACTCTTTATTATAATTCTTATTATTTTAGTGGTCGACCTTTACCTCCTGTGGGCCAATCACACGAATACGGCCGTAGCCCTCACGATCATCGGAACTTTGGTGGAGCCAACGATCTAAACCGCCAGAACAGTCCTGGCAGACCTCATTATAATGATATGAATGCGTCCCGTAATATTGGTAAGTTCTTATTATAAACTACAAACTACAAGTTGATATTATATTATATCCTATTCTTTATAGATCCCCGCAATGGCACTCCCCAGCGTCCTTCGAATTTGGGTCTGGAGAGCAGTCCTCGAAAGCCTTTGGTGGAGACCAAAACCGATTACGGCAAATACAGGTATGACTTTAAACGAAATAATATCTAATTGTAAGGTACCATGCAATATAAATGTACATATCACCTGTCTTTGATAAATATTTAAAGAATTTATATTTACTTTCTCTATTTTTTCTGCGCCGTCGTTCGATATCAACTCACTTAATTCGCATGTGTCGTAAATATTGTTTTGTATCTATATTTCTGCATTTCGAATAAAATACAAACTAGACGCTATCATCTCCATGCGCCCCATTTGCAGCACTTGCAGATAATGCACTCAATGTCACCTTCGTCCTCGTTGCCGCTCTCCCCAGTACCTTCGTCCTTGCCCCTACCTCTGCCCCTGCCTCGTAATCTGCCCCTGACCCTGACTTCAGCCTTGCAACTCAATCATCCTCAGGTTCATTTGCGACTCAATTCCGGCGGCTATGATCGTCGACCGATTGCTGCCCCACGTCTGCATGCATTGATGCCACTTCCGGCGCTGGTGTCCAGTGGCTCTGCCTACGATACTCTTGTTTAAGAAATTAAAAACAAAACAAAAATGAACGAATATACAAAGGAAATATTTTAAACACACAAATAAATAAACGAAAATGCACTTTTTCCATTTTCCTATAAGCTACAAACTTTGGTAGAGTCTTTTCCCATTTATCCTCGAGGAAAAATGTCATTAATTTTGAAATAAAACCTAATAATTTCAACAAGGAAAAATATCACTCTTTTCTATTATAAACTTAAGAACTTCCCTTATAAAAAATATTAAAAAATTCCCCTCAAATGCCCTATTTCTCTTACCCCTGATATTAATAAATATTTAGAGTATTTTTGCAACACGTATTTTTATAATCACAAACCAACTTTTTCTCTTTCTGGCTTATGTTTTGTGCTCGTCATCATCAAACGTATTTGTCCCTCCAATCCACACACATCCACTATCACCTGCCACCTAATTTTTATGCTACTGCATCCTCCACAAACCCGTACCACATGATCCAACAGTCGCAATAACTCCGTATCACAAGCGGATTACACGAAATTGCCGAAGACGACGCCACACGGAGTGGTGCCACCACCGAATGTCAGCAATGGCCAGGGCCAGATGAATGGCAGTGGAACGCCTAGTAGCAATGGCAGTGGACCTTTTAAGCCGGTGCCACCGCCCAAACCGAAAAACTACAGGCCACCAGTGCAAAGTGGTGGTAGCAGTGGCAGTGGTGGCACCACACCCTGGGAGAATGGGGTAAGTTGCAACGCAGCTCAAAGTGTCCAGTTCTTATCGCTAATACCCCTGTTTTTTTTAGGACTCTGGTTCGCCGCGTTCACCCAACGGTTTCTACTATCCGCCAACGCTATCACATCACCATTACGGCCAACAGCCTACTCCTGGCTCGCCCAGCAACGGACACATGCAACAGGCGCCGCAGCAGCAACAGCAGCAGCCCACCTATGGTGGCAGCAATGGAAACTACGGACAGGCGCCACCTCCACAGCCATACCCTCCGGCCAATGGCTATAATGGCAACAGTCACCACTACAACGGAGGCAGTGGCACAGGACCCTACATAGCGCCACATCGTGGCATGCCACCGCCAATCGGTAAATATAATAACCCATTTTTAATATTCTGAATATATTAAATAATATTTTAAACTATAGGAAACCTGCCACCGCATACCCCAGAACGCCATGCCCTGGACTTGGCTGGAAGTCGAGAGCAGCGTGGATCCGCATTCGAACTATATCGTAAACCGCAAATCGGAGGCGCCGCCGGGCACCATCACAATATGAGGTAAGTGGAAAGCCAAATTTCGTAGTCCCTGAATGATCCTCCCATCTAAAAGATCCATTACCTCCCCTCTCAAAAAAATATATATTTCAAAATAAAAAACACACAGAAGAAACATACAGAAATCTTTTTTGCGCCCTCCTTCAATTTTCAACATTTGTGTTAACGAAAAATGTTTTATATTCTTGTTAAATGCCATTTTTGTAATTCACAAATATCGATCAAACATTCAATCAATCGGTCAGCCAATCAATCAGACAACAATCAATCATTATGTCAATATATTCATTACTTCATACGGTTGCTGGTCATTACAAATTATTCGATGCAAAAATTTCTCAAAAATAACGCACAACAACGAAACCGAATCGCATATATTCCATAAATTAAAACAATTATTGTATTTTGCAATAACCAAAATTATTAACCAGATTATAAATTAAAATGTAAAAAATGTAACAAAATTAAAACAGTCAAGCGCTTCTCGCACATAAAAAATAATTTGAAATACTTAAGAAAACGAAAATAAAACATTTTTCGGGTTAACTTCTATAGTACAGATTCGTATCCATATATTTCTCTGTTCTTAAACTTAAACTTCAACTTAAATCTGTACTTCTCTATTTACAATTTATAATCACGCTTTTAGCTGATTGTTTTTATAACTCCACTCTCAATCCATTTTTCGGGTATTTGAAAGTTAAACTTGAATCTAACTTGCGGTTTTGGGTGAAATCCAACAAAATATTAACTAACAATTAAATACTAAAGTTTAATGTTTGATCTAAAACTGGTTATTGGTACCTAATTATTTTCTACAGTTTTGGTTAATTTTGCAAAGTATTTTAAATGTATGAATATATTTTATTTAAACATATATGCGCTCGTGTGTATTTATGGAAAATTTTTGCAGGAATAATAATGCGTATTTGATAGGGTTTTCAAATAATGAAATAAATTACATTTAGGTAATAAAGATGCTTTATAAAAAAACTAATGACAAATGTTAAATAGGGCCTTAGTTTCATTAGTATCTGATTTTGTTTTTTGCAAAGAATCATGTTTAGCTGACCCCTCAGATCGAAATAGATTCAATTAAATTCCATTTGTTAATCACACACAAAAATTCCAAAACCCGTAAACAAAATCTTTAGCGAAATGGAGCCGTACGATGAGCGGTACGATGAATACTATCGCATGCCGCCACCTTCCCATGGACATCCCATGCAGCGATCCCGCTCTGCACCGCGTTACCCCCACGAGCGTCCACCTACGCAACAGGACCCCATTTATTATGGACACTACGGCACTGCCAGGGCACACAGTCAGCCTCGGCAGCAATATCCCCCTCATCCCCAACAACACCATCCTCAGCAGCAGTATTACGATGATCATGGCATGGAGATGGCGCCACCCCCACTGCCACCGCATAAGAAAAAGAAATCCGTGCTCAAAAGCCCGCTTGTAGCCCTCAAGAATGCTCTGATCAAGAGCACTCGGCCCTTGAGAAGGATGAACAGCATGGTGGAGCCGGAAAGGAAGCCCAAGGGCTTGCGCCGCCAGCAATCAATGCTGGAAAGGGGAGTCCAAAGACCCTACTATCCAGATGAGTATCCCACCTATCCGGCGGGCTACGATGAGCGTTCACATGGCATGATGCCGCCACATCCGCAGGATGTTTACTATCAACAGAGAAACGGCGGCCACTATCCGCAGCATCCGCAGGATATGATGAACAGTACCTACCAGAATCTGGAGAGCGAGGATATTTACGGAAACATAGGTGGCAATGGGACAGTGCCCAGGATGCAGCATCCCCATGACAATGGCTATGACCAGTACGACCAATACGACTTGTATGCAAATCGGGCTTGTATTGATCTCGAAAGGCGACAAGCCGAGGCAGCTGCGGCGGCTGCAGCATCAGGGGGCAAGAATGGTCGTAGGATTGTTAGGCGCCATAGCACTACCACAGCCGACCGTGGGGGTGGCAATCAGTGGGCCAACAGGCGCCCTGTGGCTAGTCCTGGCTACGAGCAGGATCCCCAAGAGATCTACCAAACTCGCAATGGGGCTTACATGGTTCCCCATGAACAACGCCGGGCCCCCAATTCCGAGGTGATGACTCGACGGCGATTCTATCCAGGAGCTGCTAACGAGGAGGAGCCACTCTATCAATCTCGACGGGAAATGCAACGTGAAATGCAACGCAATCACTTGTACCAGTCCAAACGGGAAATGCAGGAGCGGATTAGCCAGGGAAAGCGGGACATGGAGCGGGAGTTCAGTCCTCAAAGTAGCAGCAGCCAATCGGAAGCCTCCAATCCGGAGGCAATCTATCAAAGTCGGCGAGAGGCCAAGGAGAGTGCTCTTAAGACTCGATCCCAGCTCAGGGATCAAATATATCAAACCAGACGCGAGGCTTTGGACAGCATGGCGGAACCCATTTACGTATCCAAAAGGGACATGGGCCGACCGGCGCCCATTTACGAGACCCGGGAAGAGAGTATCCTACAGTCGCGTGAAAATGAAACTGATGAGAAGAAAGAGGGCAAATCTGAGCAGATACAGGTGGAAATTAATGCCCAACCCGAAGATCCCGTAGAAGTGGATTCCACTTTAAGTCGTTCCGATCTGCAAAAATCATCAGATACTGTGATTGAAAATCCAGCCAGAGCTCCTCTGGTCAAGGATGAAGTGGATGAGGTGGAGGCTCAGCAGCAGGGGGAAGAAAATCCCGATGAGAGCTCCATGGACGCCACGGAACAGGTCACGGCCATTGAAAACAACCATCACAATGAGGCCATGTTGCAGGCCAGTGGAACTCAAAATGAGTCCGATGACGTCTTTGAGGCAGCCGATCAGGTTGCACCACTAGCCCCGCCTCCCGCTCCTATGGCAGTGCAACAGCCACCCACTCCCCGGTCCGGCAGGGCACCCTTTCACATTTCCAATATACTGAAACGCACGGCCCCGCCACCAAGCTCCCCCATCGGGGACAGTTGCACCTCCATTGAGACGCAGTACACCTCGCAGGCCAGCCTCCCAGTGGGCCCACCCAATGCCACCAGTACGCCATTTAGTAGCAACATGTCCCTGCCCATCGCTGGACCCGTGAACAATGCCCCACCCCAAGCCACCAATGCCGGACCCTTTCCCGCCACTCCCCGGGAACCCAGCACGTCGCGGGGATTTTTCGATTCCAATGGTGGAACTCTGGCGGATAAATTGTGGCACGTTTCGTTGCAAATCCCACCGGGAGCCATTCCACCCGGAGTGCGGCAGGAGATCTACTTCACCGTGAGCGATCCCCGGATGGGTCAGGCCGTCGGTGGCCCGCCCCTGGATATGGAAAATGGTTGGTCTAACTAAAAAGAAAATAATTACCCTACTCCGTCTTGTATCCATCCACCACAACACACAAAGCCACTACCACAAAAAACTATTTTGCAAAATGAAAAATACACAAACACGATTATTTATTGTTCTTGGTTTTGATTAAGGCATTGTTTTAATTTCTTAAGCGTTAATGTTTATAGGCTCTATTTTATGGTGGATGGTAACTTTATGTTGTTTCTTTATAAATATTTAATATGTTTTACTAACCCGTAGTCTTTTGCTTTTGGCATGTAACTTCATTCACATTTTTATCAATTAAATATTATTGGTCACAAGGTTTTAAATATTTGTGTCCAAACTCTTTTAAAAATTCTTATTTAAATAGTTCTTAGTAATTTGAACCCTCGACTATTATTTGTAGATCTTTTTTTCTTTTCTAATATCTTTGTGTAACTTTTCAAAAACTTTCTCGTAAAACCCAGTCTTGTCCCTCTATACTTACACTTTTGATAATTGTTTGCCACTATTTATGACACTATTAAATATTGTTTTAAATGCATTAGTTCGTTAACTAATAACATTAATATTTTTAATACCAGGTGAGACAATGCTTTCGCCGCTGGTGATGTGCGGGCCCCAAGGCCTTGAGTTTCTAGTACCGGTTACCCTCAACATACCCCACTGTGCCGGACGTACTGCATCCCTGGGCCTGGCCCTCAAGGCGACCGACAGCGAGAAGAACCTTCACACCGAGTGGGACAACATCGATCTGCCCAGCAATGCGGCCGCCCACACGGTCTCCGTCAAGGTGGATCACTTCTAATCAGCCCAGCATTAAGTTTCATACACCATATACCCACTCATCCGTAAACTTAGCAAAAAAACACACACATTCACGAACGAGAAACGCAATTGTAAATATAATGATCCATAAACATGTTATGTTAGAGCAAGAAAAACGAAAAAAAAACAAACTTAGGCATCGCTTATAAAATAATTAATTTAATTCGAATATTGTCTGTTAATTGTGCCTTTGAGTGATCGTTTGGCTCTGCCTTTCAAATATATTATCGAGCTAGAAATTAATCAATCGAATGCAAAGGACATTTGTATAAAGCGATTAGGATTACCTATATAAACCAATTATTTTGTATATTACTATGTATTTTATATATTTACATAATTTTAATGAATTTAATTGACAATTAATTAGCTATTCGACCCATTATACATTTTATTGCATTCAAATTGTTAAAAGCGTGCATATTTTGCAAGCATTAGTTTATCATTAAAAAAAAACAAATTATAGCGATATCCTTAGAGCCTATGCACACCTATACACATTGTATAACCAGAACAGAAAATAAATATTTATACGCATTTTTGTAATAAAAACTATACACACGTGGAAAGCTTGGGAATAAATAAAGAGCAACTATAAAAATAAAGTATAATGTATTATTTATTGGAGTAATATACAGATTTGGAATATTTATTTATTAGCTATATTTACATAACTTTGAATTTTCTTAGAGCTAACCTTTCTTATCTTTAAATAAAAATTTGTTGACATTTTTAATCCTCATCGAATGCTATAGAATAAGATCTGGCTCGTTCAGTCTGAAATGATTGCATTATCCGGTTACCTAATTTATCCCTTATTAAACCAAGTTCATTATCATTGGCATTCTCTATCTTTAATTCTTTGTATAGTTTGTAATGGGATGTATGGACAAGAGAAGGATGTTGTCTTATAAATTCATAAAAGTCTTCTTTTAAGTACATAACCAGTAAGTTAGTGTCCATATAAAGCAAACTTACAGAGGGGCATTTCGGTTTAATTAAATTATAATATTGATAATACATGAACAATTTTGATAGCTCCGAAACAACAGCTCCAATATATATTGGAGCTAATGATGCAGAGATTTCATAAAAATGACTTAGTTGTTTCCACTCGATTGCAGCCAAACCATTGCCAAAAAGTTCTACTTTGTGAAAATTGTTTCTGGCTATTCGCTGCCTGAATCCAGGAGAATTCAATTTTGATTGATAATGTCGTATTAAGTTAACTTTACATATTTTCCCCCTTTGCAAACACTCATCGATTTTGCCACTTATTGAATTAAAAAAATGTTTTTCAAACTCGTTTTTGGATATTTTTATGAGGTACCTATTTAAATTAACAAATGGCTTAAGCCAGCGGCTCTGCTCAAAAGAAAGAACTTGATGTATTTTCTCAATGACTAGTCCATGTTGTAACAATAGATGCAGATTTTTTAGATGAACGACATAGTTTTTTTTATCAGTTAAACTAGCAGTAGATACTAAAATTTTGTCTCGGCCTTCAGGACAAAACGGCAGTGACCTGTGACTGTTGTGAAGATCAGTAGGATATTTAAGATCAACTTCAAGCATATAACCTATAACCCCATCAGGAAGCACATTTCGAAAATCCATCTTTTCAATCTCGTCTTCATTTAAAAATTTAAAATTTGAAAAAGGTAGATCCTGACTCATCGCCCAGTCAGTTAAATTTTTAGCTTCAATGCAAGCTAAGTAATTGGAAGGAAGACTGGGATCAAAATTACGCATATATCTATTATTGGCTTTTGCAATTCCCGGTAAGCTGTGAATTAATGGACCTCTAAATCCTCTTTTAATAAAATCATACATATTAGGGTCTCTGATGAAGTCTAGGTTTACCTTTGTAACTTTTAGCATAGCATCCCAAGATAGTTGAGCCAGGGTATTATAGTGAGTGGGGTCTAGGCTATAATTTTTTACGCACAACGATCGAAAGTATTCAAATACATCAGCCAAAATAAGAACATCTTGTTTTAAATGCAAGTTAATATAGCTTTCAATAGACGTGCAGTTAAAATTCGACCACACTTGTTGTGCAAATTTATAGTCTTGGATACTGTAACCCTCTTCCAGAAAAATATGTTCTTCAGGTAACTCTAAATCGGAAGTTTTCGAAAAGCTGGATAAATATGTTTTAGGAAATATTATTTTTTTATCTATCTGCTCCCAATTGCCTCCTATCGGAAAATGTTTATACAGATTTTTTAAATCATTCATGTCCAAATAACTTGCTACTTTATCCAAACTGAATTGTAAAAAGTTACTGGCATCCATAAATTTAACATAAAAAGGATCGCCTTCAAAATGTGCTCGAAAATTCTTAAGCACTGAATAGAGGCCATTACTGTCAGGTATTGGTTCAAAATCATATTCCAATTCATTAAATAATAAATTAACAAGATTTCTCGACAACTCTTTGAAGATAACTGGGAACTCGATTGGGTTTTTTAAATAATAATAGGGCTTACAATACGTATGAATTGGACCAATCAATTCTCCTGTAAATTGACTATAACATTTTTGAAAATCTTCTGGTTCTATGACTTTTTCGCAGGCACAACATATCGTGTAATCAACGTTGTCCTCCTCCAAAGGATCTATTTCAATACATTCATTCGATTCCATACAATATTTGTCGTAAAGAGAATATACTTCGTCTCTGAGGGCTATGCTGAATTTTTTCATGGCATCTGAACCTGTTAAAAACCATATATATTAATAAAATTCTCTTTCGGTTGGATATTATGATTTTACCTTGATACGTCCACAGTTTATTTCTAGAAGGATAATGTTGATGAGCAACATAGTAGGATACTGCCCATGATTGGGGCTCATCAGAAATATGCGTAATAATATCTATGTTTGCATAAATTATCGCAGGCGGTGATATTTTATTAAAAGTTGACTCGAAGACCATACCACCCATCAGCGGTGGATTGACGACGAATTTACTACAGATTTTATGGATTCCATCATTTTTGGAATAGAACTCCAAACAATGTTGGCAAAAATTAACCCTGGGATTGGATCTATTAATTTGCGAAAAGCATAATTTTTCCATGCTTGCAATGCAAGTGTAACGCATACTTTGATTTTTTTTATCATACAATGCCAGTAGGTCTATGTGATTTATTTTAACTTGATCTGTTCTAATGGTTGGTCCAATAATATTCACTTCATTATCGTCTAGTTCATAAACGTTAATACTGAAGTCTAAGTTATTGCGTTCGAATTGCTTGATTCCTTTTCTGGTTATCGGAAATTCTATGCCAGAGAAATCCACGGAAATTCCTTTGTACTTAATTATTTTCCTTGAAATATGCACACCATAGTATTGCATTGGATTGTTCAAGGCGCTTCGAAGGTGTTCTATATCCGAGCGTTTCACGCCTACTACGTTATGTAGTTTTTTTAAATTGATAGCAACTGATGCTAGAATGCTCCACTTGAAACAAAAGATGTCCTTACTTTTGACATTAACCAATGCATTTCTATATCTGATGTTCACAGGGGTAGGAACCAAATCGCGTTCCAGTTTCGGAATATGTTCCAGTTTAATTAATGTGATCTCAAGCTTTTCAAAACTTATAATTGACCAACCTGAGGTTTGATCATAAAATAGACGGCTTAAATTTGTTAAATACTCAATTGCATTGTTCATTTTTTTTTTCAAAGATTCCAGTTCATATATAGCCATGTAAGGTGTTGCGAAATTCTTGGTTTCCGGCTTTGTATTCAGTTCAGTTGGTCTATGATATAATCCATATATCTTTAAACTAAACTTTAACGTTGTGTATTCACTTAGTCCATATAAAAACACTTGCAGAATTTCTTCCCTGCGGTTGAGATAAAACTTCTGTAGGTCACTTTCGTTTAATTTTGATTCGATTCCAAAAACCATTATTGGAAAATCAGTCACAATTTTATTTTTTGGTAAATTTTTCAAAAAGACATTTCTATGATTCTCTGTCAAATGTCGCAGTTTTAATGCCGAATTATAGGTTTGTTTGCAAACGGAGCAAGTTTTTAAATCATTATCTTTCAAAAAACAAAACTTCTTCGATGGAGGAAGGATATTTGAATTTTGTTGATTTTGAGATTGCAATGGCCTTTTTCTAACAGGTGTATTTGCTGCCACCATGATTTCAAAAGCATTTCGAAGCACTTTACAATTTTCATAATGCTCTGCAAACTGAAGGACAGTAAATTCTTTTAAGCACAAATCACAAATAATTTTTGGAGCCATTTTTTAAAACAATCGTTGGAACTGTGTGCGTTCACTTTCACTGCTTGCAAAGGAATGAAGGTCCTTTTAGTCCTGTTCACATATTTCTACCTGCTTAAAACCTCTTTAGTGTACAACCTTTTTTGCACTTGATTTTTTGTATCTTTTCTTGGAACTGTACATTCTTTTAGAAAATTTATCTTTAAACTACCTAAAATAATGTTCCTAGAAGATAAATAAGTATGACTCTTTCCATTAGAGAAACAAAGACTTGAGTACATTGTATATACACGCAATCGCATTATATATTTTATATTTATAAATGTATACGTAAAAAACTTGCACAGAATATATATGTATATATTTAGGTATAAGTGCACTGCTTCACCACGAAAGCTAACAAAGACTCGCAAAGCACTTTAAATCTTACAGATTACATCGAGTTTACGCTTCTAGAGATTTGATTATTTAAAATACGACTAAAAAACTAAGCAAAAGGAAACAATTAAACAGTCTAGTAGTCTGTCGAGGTCGATATTTATAACGTGGCAGGCGTGGCTGCTGTTGGAACTGTCACTGCCGTTGTGGCTGCCGCTGATGCCGAGGCGCTGTTCATGGTGGAGAGGAGCATCTCCTGATCGGGAATGACGGAGACGGCCTCCTTCACATAGCCGTAGATGTGCTTCCGGGTATCGTTGACCACATCCCGGACCATCGCTTTAAAAAAGTTGGTGTGCAATGGGGTCTCGGAATAGCGTTCGTACTGATCGAGAGAGTCTTGCAGTTTAAGCGTAAGGTCATAGTTCTTGCGCACCACATCGAGTATTTGCTCCTCCGTCGGCGTTGATAGTCCTTGCTCGGCCAGCCACTCCTTGATCTTGTTCTGGAAATGTTTCACAATGGCAAGTATATTCACAAGGGCATTCAGCAGCTTGATCACATCATCTTTGTACTCGCACTCGGGCATCGTTGTATACCGAAGAACTGTTAATATTTATGTAATAAACTTTGTTTTTAATTTTAAAATATAAAGTCGTCTTACCCATGGCATGTATTTCCGTAAATACTTTTTCCTCCCGATTGAGTTCGTAGTACAGCTCATCGTAGCTATTGGTGGTGGCCAGGAAAGTGTCTCCATAGGTGATGAACAGGTTGAAGATGTTCACCACTTGCAGCGACAAATGGAATATATTGCACTTCTTGACCAGATTTTGTTCCTGATTGACCAAAAAGCGAAGCAATCCAATCAACGCCGACCAGAGCTCCTTCCACGGATAGTTGAGCCGCACTCGACACCTTTTCTGGTAGCACAGAATTCTATGAATTACACCGATGCAAAGAAGGTACAGTTCCATTGGAAACTTTTTCATCAGATGGGAGACAATAAACTCTACCAAAAGGTCAAGTAGAGTAGCAGCCAACGGCTGTGATTTGCCCACTCGATCGACGTTCAGTTTGCGATGACGCATTTGCGCTCTGTGCAACATCACCTTGAATGTCAGATTGCTGTCGTGCATCATTGAGTTGGCGTACTGGTCCTCCGAAATGCATGTCAGTATAAGAAAGCATAGCTTCAGATTAGCGATACTCGATTCATTCTTGTTGTCCTGCATCACGATGGAGCAATACTGAAAGACGGCCACAAGAAGGTTTGTTGGATACTGTGTTATGTCGATAATCGGAGCATTTGATAGATCAGGAACGGGCTGTGCTAGACTTAGGGTGTTGCTTGGCGATGGCGGGGCGCTTGACTCGGCCTGTGTGTGTGCCAGAGTGGTTATGAAGTTCCGGTTCAGATGCACGGCTTCATAAAGCGCCAGTAGCAGGCCATTATTGGCTTTGATTTGTTGTACTCTTTCGCATCCCTCGTCCGACACAAACATGTTTCCCACGATATTCGAGAGTGATGAGAACCAGGAGGATGACTGCACGTTGTTAAGGCTCTGGATATATTGGCGGCAGAAATCAATGAGTGACTGTGAAATCATTTGTCCATAACTAAAATTTAAAAGAGAGTTTAGTTTGTTTTCTATTCTTCACAAAGTGTATAAAACTCACCCATTCAAAGCTAGCTCATCTGCCAATATGGACAACTGAACCACGTAGGGATTTGTAGCTTCGTGTTTGCGATAGTTCACCAGAATTGTTAAAAGGATAACTATATCATGGCCGTGTTGAGAACGAAACGTGGGATCGCTGAGCAGGCGTACAAAGGCATCAAACATACTGTGCATCATCAGGTGCTCGAATAGTGCATTCTGCTTAACATTGTCAGTGCCGGTGACCAGGACTTGCAGCAGCTTCAGGCACATAAAGCGAGCATTCTCCGGCACATCTCCCAACAGAATTCGGTTGCAGTACTGCATCAGCAGTTTAAGCCATTCGTCCATTTTTTCATGGCCGAACATTTCGTTGAGGATGTTTAACGTGGGGTCCGTGTTGGACTTTTTGAAGATGCCATAAAACAGGGAGCATAATGTGTGGAGACTGTTGCACAATCGTTTGGGATGATCTAATTGGAAGAGATTGACTCAATAAATCTCAGGAAAATGTAGAAAGATACATGATGGTTCTAAAGCCCCACAAAATGGGCAACAGTATGATGTTATACCCGTGTCTAGCATTTCGATGCACTTCTGAAAGAGTGTGTTCAGATTAGGCTTGACAACCTGCAGCTGTTCCCCATTTAGCTTTCCGATCTCGGTCTCCAGGGCCTCGAAATTAGGTTGCAGGAGGAAGAACTCATTCCAGAACTCCGGACTGTCACTGCTGGGATCTTCGCCGCGGCACAACAATTCATAGATGTACACCACCTACGATGATTCAATAAAGCTATCAGTCTGTGACGAGGCGGAGCCCTGACCATTGCTGCAAACCTTTTCCTTGGGCCGCTTGGTGGAACCGCTGCCGCTCCGCTTCCGTGAGCTCATTTTTACTGCGCTGCTGCAAGTCCGATGCCCTGGCTCGCTTTTCCACGTTTACAGTCTTGTCTTTAGCTCAATATGCTGGAAATGTGAGAGTATTTGGACACAATTAGTCTTCTGTTTGCTCCTAATAGGGCTGTCAAAATATATCAAACACGAATATATCGATATTGTCATCGGTGTTATCATAGTACACGTATACGGGTATCACTGTGGTCAACAGTCCACGTAGGTGACGAGCGTACCTGCAGTGTACCTAAATAAATTCAGTATTTTTTGCAGTTAAACTTTTCTAGAATATTTGTAGTTTTAAATAATTTTAAGGAGGCCTTCTATATAATCATATATTTTTATTATACTCATAGTTATTAATATATAATTTAATAAAAGTTAAATAGGATATAAAAAAGGTGAGAATTTTAGATAGACCCAGTTCTTAAAAACTTCTGCTAAGTATTACGTTCTGCGAAAATTTGATCAGAATAAAATACTAAATTTTACGATTTGGTATTAATTTTTTGAATCGATATATCGATATATTGTTTTTATAAGAATTTACACATCTCTAGCAGACACGAGAAAAAAGCAAGCGGTTTTGTATCTCAATTTATTCCAAAAATAAAGGGAATCTAACGTCAACATCGACATGTCGATGTCAAAGACCACTAACACGTACAACAGGCAAAACTGGGAGGATGCAGAGTTTCCTATTCTCTGTCAGACCTGCCTGGGTGACAATCCGTATGTGCGGATGATAAAGGAACGTTTCGGCAAAGAATGCAAGATATGTACCCGTCCATTTACCATATTTCGGTGGTGCCCCGGCGCCCGGATGCGTTTTAAGAAGACTGAGATTTGCCAGACGTGTGCAAGACTAAAAAATGTTTGCCAAACCTGCCTACTTGATTTGGAGTACGGTTTGCCGATTCAGGTGCGAGATGCTGCCTTGAAAGTGTCCGATAATATGCCCCAGAGCGACGTCAACAAGGAGTACTACATTCAAAACATCGATGCACAACTTCAGGATGGCGACGGCACCGAGGCAGCTGGGGCCGTGGGACGGTCCTTGGCGTCCAATGAAATGCTTTCCAAACTGGCTCGAACTGCGCCCTATTACAAGCGAAACCGGCCACACATTTGCTCCTTCTGGGTTAAAGGCGAATGTAAGCGTGGTGAGGAATGTCCCTACAGGCATGACAAGCCCAACGAGCCCGATGATCCTCTATGCGAGCAGAACATTAAGGATCGCTACTACGGTCGCAACGATCCTGTGGCTGAAAAGATAATGAAACGGGCGGCATCGCTGCCCACCTTGGAGCCACCAGAAGATAGGAATATAACCACCCTCTACGTGGGAAATCTTCCGGAAGAGATAACAGAACCAGAGCTTCGCGATCAGTTCTACCAGTTTGGAGAAATTCGTTCGATTGCTCTTGTGCCACGGCAGCAGTGTGCCTTTGTACAGTACACTAAGAGAAGCGCCGCCGAACTGGCAGCCGAACGCACCTTCAACAAGCTGGTCATCCACGGTCGGAAGGTTAGCATTAAGTGGGCTCACTCTCAGGCAAAACAGGGCTCAGCTGCCAAGACGGATCGACGATTCGATGTGGCTGGCATCCCCCCGCCCAGCGCCAAGCCGAATGATTATTTCAATCTGCGACAGGAGCAGATAAACGTGATGCCTGCTGGAATGAAACTGCATCAGCTGCCATCCAACTTAGTGCCAGCTTCGGCCTACCAAATGTACAGTCAGCCCACGTACGCTGCACCCTATGGCAATGCCAGTGCCACAGCCACATCTACCTCCGGTGTGAGTCTGGACTCCATTACGATTCCACCGCCACCTGGCCAGGTGTCCTATCCGAGTCAGGACGCTAGCCGAATGGGGGCTGTAAAAAAATGATAATCAACCATTGATACTACAAACAAACGCTATTTTTCACAAAAATCAATAAGCTACAAAGTAAATTTAATAAAAAACGAGCAGTAATTGATTGGTAATTTAACATCTTTTATTTTTGCGATTGTAAAGCTTGTATTTGGTGATAAAATGACAGGTAAAGTGTATCAAATAGGGAGACAAAAAATCTTGTTATCCTCAAGTAGTTATAAATAAAATAAATTTAATGTTTTTTCATTTACTTTTAACATGTTTTAAAGCTTAAATAATTAATATAAACATTTTGTGTGTATATTTATTATTCATTCTTAGGTTATCATAGGATTCTTTTGCATTATAAATTGTACCACAATAATTACATAATTAACACCGTCGGATACCATTTTTAAATAAAGGCTGTTAGAAATCTCAAATAGCCCAAAAATTTGTAACGTAAAAGGGTTCATATTGAGAAAAGTAATGAATCTTTCCACCTGAAAGAGTTATTCTTTTTATAATATTTTACAATATTTTTAAAGGGTATACTTACAGCTTGTTGGCTTTCTATTGTATTCTGAAGAATGCTTGCCTCAAAAACGATTAATCGAGTCTTGCCACATTCTTGAACAATTCGCTCAATAGCCGAGCAGAAAAGCTGATACTCAATTATTGTTTTCACAAAGCCAATCCAAATCCAAGGATATCCGAGTGATAAGTTTTTGATCATTAAATTAGAAATTTCCACAATATATAAAACGGATGAAAAAACGTGAACAAATATATGATAATTGAAAATTATTTTGAACGAAATGGATGATTCGTGAATTTTCCGATAAATGTCCAAACACAGCTCAAAATTTAAATGCCTAGAGTTGTTTAGATCGTTTTCCATTAAGTCATTTAAGTCTGAATGAAGTACCCCCAATGCCAAGTACCAGAGGTAACTGAAGTGTATACTTAAGTTAATGTAAGTGAAAGTATAAACCATTCCCCAATATGTGAGAATAGTTCGCAGTTCAATTGTCTTAAAAGTTAAATATGATTCTGTTGTAATATCGTAAATCCGACAGCATATTATTAGAATAATAAGCACCAACTCCCTTTTGCCTCCGAACCCGAATTCATCTTGATTTCTCAGGCATCTTAAACGTCGAAATAGCTTCACAACTTTATTGGCCAAGGAAACGGCCTGGGTGTTCATTAAAAACTGCTGCCGGATAATCCAAAAGTTCGCTATGAGTATGAGTCCGAATCTAGCATATTCACACGCCCCGTAAAGAGTATTTTTAAATCCATCGAATATTATTGAGAAGCCGAAGTAAAGTCCAACGATACAAATCATTCTGTGTAGTAACGTAAGCCACTTCCACCATATTCGATTATCGTCTAAAATGACTAGTCCATCCTTATCATTCCCAAATCTGAAGAATAGGAAACCAAGAAGTCTGGAGTAGGATAGGTTTTCCCGCAGGAGTCGCGCGGATATTTTTGAAGTGTTTTTCTTCCAATGAATTCTAAACATGACTGCTAACTGAAAAATATTTTTCCTAAAATAACGAACCCTTGGTGCCACTAATAGATTTTGAGGACTGTCATCAGATAAAGCCGAAAGCTGTCAGATATGAGGGACCAACTATGAGTATAAGGTATACAATAGGTGCACTTTCTTATTGATCAGATAATTGTGAAGAGCTTAAGATAGCCAAAATTAAAACCCAAATTATAATTAAAATTATCTTAAATTATAGAATAAAGTGTTTTAAAGAAAATAATCCGGAGTAGTTTAGAACGTTTTATAATTTGTCCCCAAAATTCGAATATATTTTGTAATAAACTTCATTTAGCTGAAAATTATTTGTAGGAAAATATAACAGCCCTTTATTGGTCAGTCCATGACATATGTTTTTACAATTGTCAATATTCCTTAGTAATATTGACATATTATTACACAATTCCTCCTTCGGAATTGTCATCTTGAAACGAAATATAATTTTTAATAAAATTATGAAAGTCATCAAATAAAAAACTTTTCAAAATTAAATCAATTTCTTTATAACCAGATTATTTTTAATAATCTTCTTTATTTATAGTAGCATTGAATAAGTTATAAATATAATAGATTTCATATAAATGTTTTTAAATTAAGTAATTGCATTTAATATTTGTCGTAACATATTTGTTTGAAGTGTCTTAAATTATAGAGCTTAAAATGTTTCTCGCAGGTATTCTGCATATGGTTATCCGCTAGGTTGCATCTTTTTTGTTTGAAGTATAAATTGTACAACAATAATTATATAATTTACAGAGTCTGATAACATTTTTAAATAAAAACTATTAGAAATTTCAAATAGCCCTAAAAGTTTTAAGCTAAAGGGATTCATATTGAGAAAAGTAATGAACATTTCCACCTAAAAGGGTTATACTGTTTTAATTATTGTGAAACTTTTTTTTTTAATTTATACTTACAGCTTTGTTGCTTTCTTTTGTATTCCGAACCATGCTTGCCTCAAAAACGATTAATCGAGTCTTGTCACATTCTTCAATAATTCGCTCAACAGCTGAGCAAAAAAGTTGATACTCAATTATTACCTTCCCAAAGCTAACCCACACCCACGGGTGCCCGAGAGATAAGTCTTTGATCATTAAGTTCGAAACATCGGCAACATATATACCGGTAGATAAGACGTTAAAAAATAGTTGATTGTTGAAAATACTTTTGAACAAAATTGATGATTTGTGAACTTTTTGATAAATATCTAAATATTTCCCAATATTGGGACGGATTGAGTTATTCACCTCATTTTTCAATAACATATTTAACTCTGAATAAAGTACCCCCAATGCCAAGTACCAGAGGTAATTGAAGTGTCTAATTAAATTAACGTAAGTAATCGTGTAGGCCAAACACCAAAATGTGTGAATAGTTCGAAGCTCAAAAGATCGAAAAAATAAAGCAATAATAGATGCAAATTCGTCAATTCGACAGAACAAAATCAAAACTATAAGCACAAACTCCCTTTCATCTCCAAAACCCACTTTTTCCTGATTTCTCAGACTTCTCACATGTCGAAAGTGCTTCAACATATTGTTAGCCAAAGAAATCGCCTCAGGGTTTCTGAAAAACTGCTGCCGGATGATCCAAAAATGTCCGACCAGTAGAAGTACTAGTCTACCAAACTGAAGTGCAGTGTGAAGAATGCTACTAAATCCATCGAAAATCACTGAGATGCCAAAGTATAGGCCGAAAATGGTCATAATTCTGTGTAGTAAGATAAACCACTTCCACCATTTTCTTGTATCATCTAGAATGACTAGTCCATCTTTATCGTTTCCAAATCTGAAGAGCAGGACTCCAAGAAATCGGGAGTAGGAAAGGCTTTCCCGCACTAGACGCGCGGATATTATTAAAGAGTTCTGCTTCCAGTGAATTCCAAACATGACTGCTAACGGAAAAATACTTTCCCTGAAAACACCTCCTGGTGTCAGTAAATACACATTTAAAGTCATCCGATAAAATCGAAAGCTGTCAGATATAAGGAGGGTCATTTTCTTATTGATCAGGTTGATAAAAAGCTGAAAACGTAGCTAAATTACTAATTGCATTTTTATTAAAACTAGGATGAATTATAAAAATATTTTAACTAAACCAATATATACATTAACTTTGTTTAAAAAAAATAAACTTATCATACTTGAAATTTTTTACATGAAAAACCTTTGACGATGGGGACGAAAAATCCATAATATTTTATATCCATTTATAAGACGAAAATGCAATATAAGTAATAAACGCTACACAATAAAGTCTAAATTGTAAGTAAGTACGTAAACTTAAAAATTGGGTTTGAAGAAAGTTTTTATATGAGGGATTCAGCTACTCGGAGCTCCAATCATAGAAATGTATATATTTTTCCGATCCGTTGTAAATTGTATAAGCTATCGCCATCGGAAGGGCCAAAAATGGTAAATTTGTAATTTTTAAGGGGTACCCTTGGAAAAAATTCGAAAAATTAAAAATAGGTGTTAGGGAAAGGGTTGGTATGAGATATTAAGCTATTCCGAGCTCCAATCATAGAAATGTATTTTTTTATGTTATCATTTTAATCTGAACGGATATTTGTTGAAAAGGATATTTGAAATACTGATAGTAATGATTCTGAAAAATATTGTAAGAGAATTTACTTCCAAATCTGTATCTTAAATTTTCTATCTGTAGAAACAATAGTTTTAGCAAAGTTCCTACTTCGGTTCATGAAAGATCCCTCCCTTAAGCTCCTAGCTCCTTGTTTCCTTATAGCTCCCATAGCTATAGCTCCTTAGATTTTTTAGATCAAATATTTAATAAATTTTTTAAAAGTCTAAAATGTGTGACTGGTAAAAACAAGCTATAATATATTGTCTCACATTTATCGATTCATCGATAGTGGAATATTAAATTGCTCTAGCAATTTAAATACTTGTTGAGCAGCTTCTAATTCTAATCAAATTCAATTCGCTTGGAATCACGTTGAAGATACAACCTACCTTCTGCAGCCATGCCTACTGCTTTCCTGGGAACCATAGTGCACACGAAGTCCTTCAATGAATTTGAGTCCATCAAGAATGGGTTCTTGGTCGTGGGCGATGATGGAAAGGTATGTTTCTAGGAACCCGATTTAGATGAGCGCTTCTTAATGATAGCTTCTTCCATAGATTTTATGTTTAGGCAAGGACTACCAAGCCTGGTTGAGCAACAACAAAGCCAATAGGCCTGAGGAGGTGGTCCTGTCTGACTACCAGTTCCTGATGCCCGGATTCGTGGATTGCCATATACACGCGCCCCAGTATGCCCAAGTGGGTTTGGGATTGGATATGCCATTGCTCGACTGGTTGAACACGTATACCTTCCCTCTGGAGGCCAAGTTCTCCGACTTGGAATACGCCCAGCGTGTCTACAAGAGCGTTGTTGTAAGAAACGATCGTTATCAGATTGGAGCACCCATACAAGCATGTCATGTGTACCATATACTATAAAACATCCATACATATATGCCACCTAATATCGCTCCACCAAGCGTTTCCGTCACACATAATCACTTGTCTTCGGAATGAGCTAATAATGTGATACCCCCCAGGAAGCGACGCTGCGCTCTGGAACAACACTCGCCTCCTATTTCGCCACCAACAATCTGCCATCGACTCTGATACTGGCACGGGAGGCAGTGCGTCAAGGTCAGCGGGCGCTGATTGGAAAGGTTTGCTCCAATTGCAACAGTCCCGACTTCTATGTGTGAGTACTACATATAAGAGGTTTAGCTTGTTTACTAATTGCCAATACTATTTATAGAGAAACCCTGGAGGAATCGGTAACCAACACCAAGGAGTTTGTGGCTGCAATGAAAGACATTGGAAGTCCACTTGTTTTACCCACAATCACACCCCGGTTCGCTCTTAGTTGCACCAAAGAGTTGCTCAAGCAGCTGGGTGACATCGCCAAGGAAAACGACCTGCATATCCAAAGTCATATCAGCGAAAATCTGGCAGAGATTGAGGTGGTCAAGGGTATCTTTAAAACCAGCTACGCAGGAGCGTACGATGAAGCTGGATTGCTCACGAAAAAGACGGTAATGGCTCACGGAGTCCACTTGGAGGATGCAGAAGTCCAACTGCTTAAGGAACGTGGGACCTCTGTGGCCCATTGCCCTGCCTCGAATACAATGCTCGGCTCTGGCATATGCGATATCCAACGATTGATTAATTCCGGAGTAACTGTAGGACTGGGCACCGATGTTTCCGGAGGCAATTCCGTCTCCATCCAAGATGCCTTACTGCGTGCATTGGATATATCGAAGCATTTGGACTTTTTCAAGAAACAAAATATTATTGGAACAGGAGAGGCTAAAACGCAGGATTCCAGTTACAAGCAACTCAAATACAAGCAGGCCCTTTACTTGGCAACATTGGGTGGTGCCAAGGCCCTGGCCATGGATCATCTAACCGGCAACTTCGAAGCTGGCAAGGAATTCGATGCCCTGCTGGTGGACGTCAGTGTCGTGGATGATCCCATTAGGCTTCTGAACGTCGACGAAATGGTGGAGAAGTTTATTTATACTGGAAGTGATCGCAATATTATCGAAGTCTTTGTATCCGGTAGTCGAGTCAAAAAAGGCTGTCTAAAGGACTGAGAAAAAGAGTCACATTGAAACGAGTATAGACTTTATTTTTACAGGGACAAAAGTTAAATGCTCAAACCGAAATTTTGGTTAAAGATAACAACCAATATATACTCTATTATGTACATTCTGATTTTGGCCAAAGCGGCGCAATAACTTTGTCTTTACACTTTCACATTTTATACTTTGAACTGTTATTTACATTTATATATCTTAACTTTCGGTTTCGATCAGTTATAGGCATTCAATTTAATCACATATTGGCTATAAATGGGTCAGGGGAATATTGTAATTTTCCTAATTACAGCGAAATGAAAATATATATGTTGCAATGATTGATTTTAAGTCAAATCTCCGCGTTATGAACAAAAAAAATTATAGATTGTCTGAGGGCTTCGTTTCGTTTGTATATTCAGACGATTGTTTTTAGGGCGGTCTTCGGTGACTTTCAGGAATGTTGAACTTGGCCTTGTTGGTACAAAAAAAAATTAAGTAAATTGTCCTTAGGATGATTTGAATTTCAAAATGGGGTTCTCTCGGGCTATCTAAAATGTCTACACCATTCGCAGGCGTAGGCAAATACTTTCTCTTTAAAGATTAAAGCTTACAAAATTAAATGGCTTTATGCTAATTTCAGCTAGTCGTAGATTAGGACTACTTGCGATAAATATATAGCTATAGGACGCGTTTTACGCATTGAACATATTTTGCTGCGTAGCATCGTTTTCAAAATCGGTCCATGCATTGTTCAGTTCCATAAATATGAGCTTGGCAATCTCCTCGTTCTCGGTGCCATTATGCTGAAAGACGTTTTTAAATGTAAAAACAATTAATTATATTTATTTTATGTGCTCACCTTATCGGGATGTACGGCCAGGCAAGCGCGGCGATAGGCTTTCTTGACCTCGGCTGGAGTCACCATGGTGGACATTTCGCAGCGTTGCCATTTGGCATTCTCCCACAGGACCGTGTGCATGGAGCAGAGAAGAGCACGTATGTTGTTCTTCTTGCCGTCAGTCTTTAAAGGAATAACGTATTTTGTTAAACCAGCATTAGATCGATCTATCAGTCAAATTCTTACCCATTCCATGATGCGAACTTTCTTTGGATCCATGTCTCTGACCAAGTCTTCTTTTCGCATTTCATTGATGGACCGTGGGCCCTGATTCATCTTGCTGCCAAAGGAGTAGCCTTGCTGCCCCAGGATATCGGCAAATATGTCAGAGTTCTTGGGTCCAAAGCCTCCCGCTGCTTGTCCTGGCTTTGGTGCGTCGAAGTGAGAGCGACTGTAGTCCGGTCGTGCCTGGGCTGGCTGTGGTTGAGGTGGCGTCTTAACAAACGGTGTTTGCTGTTGCGGAGTTGCCTGCGGCGGAATCTTCATGAACGATCCTTGTGGCTGTTGCTGCGATTGCCCTGTTGTGGCTGGGGCAGGTCTGTGGGTGGGGCTGGGGTATTGCGTGGGCTGGGGACTATTGCCGACAGGAGACTTTCCACTTAATGTGCTGCGGTTAAAGTTTATGTTGAGTCCAGACGCGAGATTGGCAATGTCAGCGAAGGGGTCGGCAGGAGATTTTGGAGGCTGCGTGGGTGATGGTTCCTTTTTGGGAACTGATGGTTGGGCAGCAAAAGCTGGGACGGTTCCCATGAAAGGTGGCCGGTCTGTTCCGGTCGAGGGCTTCATACTCGGAGCACTGCTCTGGTCCACCGAGCCAAAGATGTCGAATAGGTCGGCGTTTATTTTGGGCTGCTGTGGCGGTTGCAACGGCGGCGGTGGAAGAATGTCTGGTACGGGAGCCGAACCTATACCAGTGGAGTCGTCGTCACCGAAGGCTCCCAAAAGATCAAAGCTGGCGTCCGAGCTGGGCATTGCACTGGCTAATGGATCCGCAGCCGGGGCATCACTGGGTTGCTGGTTAAGATTGAGCAGATCGATGGGCGGCGAGGGTTCCGGCATACCCACCGGAGGATCATGAGCAGTTTCCGTCACATCAGGCAAAACCAATGGAGAGTTGGCACGTTCGGGCTTTCGCACGGCAGGCGGTGGTGATGGACGTGTTGTTGGCTTGGTTACTGAATGGAAGACATATTAGTAGGCACATTATGAATAGGTTTGGGGTTACTTACCAAAGTTATCCAGCATTTCGGCATACTCCAAGTCAGAGCTAAACAAGGCAGCTGGTGACCTTTTTGGCTTGGGTGGCATCCATGGCGGGTTGTGGCTGGGCGGGCTCTCCGAGTCCGTCACTGCCAGGGAGAGTGATACGCAGAAGTTGGGTGCCACCTGTTCCGCATCCGGCAGATCGTCAAGATCGTGACTGCGCAACGTCATCAATGTTTCCGGTTCCGGTATAAAGCCAGTGTTTATCTGGAACTGGCATATTTTGAGGCCCTGTGGACGCACCATTCCTCTGCGAGCATGGTATAGGACAATGGTCACATCGCCACAGACCGTCAAGTTGATGGGAAGAACTATTTTGCCAGGACCAGCCATATGCAAACGCATTTTTTCATAGTCCTGGAGAGTGCTTAGCAGCAGAGTCTCATTGCAGTAGACCTCCATGTAGATGCGGCAGCCGTCACGGGCCTTGGTCATTTTGGGAACTGGTTGGCAGCTGAGCGAGACGAGATTTGTGTTTTTGTAGTGTGGCAGTAGCGGAGTGGGCCGCAGGATGTCGCCGAAGTAATACAGGTAACGGAATTCCGAAGGACGCAGGTTGATGGTGTGCCGCTTGACTGCGAATACCTGAACCGCATCTTCCGGCTGCTGGAGAAGATCGGCGTACATGAGTAGGGCACAGATCACAGTGGCAGCAGTGCAGCCACCGGAATCTCCAGTTTGGACGACTACTATCGACTTTGGATCGGCGTTGAGGAAGTTGTACATATCCGCAGAAACAGTAAAGAGACCCTGCAGATTAGGAGCATGGGCTTGTGGATACGCGTATACCGACCCAGCCTCGACTGTTCGCACGGGGGGCGGTAACCGCGGAACTGTTCGCTGCCCAAAATTGTAAATGCTTATCTTTTGGGGGGAGAACCGACTCTCCAGCGACATCCGCACGTCCTCAATGTTGTTCGTTTTGTATGCCGACTCAAAGCCATCGGACGGACACGGCATTACCAAGATCCTCGAGGTGATGTGACTAATGTCTAGATCGGTGCGTGCGATCGATTGCTGCATCGTCTGCATGACCTTTGTGGAAGTGTCTTTGAGGTTCTTGAAAAGCGTTCCAGCTCCGCCTTTCAGTGACGACAGAAGACTGCCATGACCATTGCTTGAAGATGGAGCGCTATTGGCGGGTGGCGCTGGCTGGGTCGGGAGATTGGGAGTGTCAGTGTAGAACTCCGATTGGGTGGGTGTCCTTCGGGCGGGACTTTCTGTGGGTGATGTCTCAATGGGAACACCGCGTAGATCCAAAGGTCCTTTGAGCGACCAATTGTTTGTCTCCGCTATAGCAGCTAGGCGCTCAAGCACCATGGCAATGTCTAGACGTTCGGCCGGATTCACTTTGAAGCAGCCTTTGATGATGTCACGGAAGCATTGGTATCGCGGCTCTGGTGGAATGATGTAGTTGCCGTTGATGATCCGCAGTTTGCCACCATCTTCGTAGGGGTGCCTGCGATAGCATAGGAAATATAGGACGCAGCCCAGGGCCCAGATGTCTGCCTTGGGGCCGATCGGATTGTTGGACCAGGTGTCCAGCATTTCGGGTGCTCGGTACATGGGCGTGGTAACAGTATTCAGTTGATCCTCCAGCATGTTGCGTTGGTGGGCACTCCATTCAAACGTGGGCGAGAGCACCTCTTTGCTGGATGAGCCGAAATCACACAGTTTTATCTGCTTATCGTTGCCGATTAGGAAGTTTTCGATCTGCCAAAGAAAGAAGAAAGTTAGAAGGTTTTAAAATTAAAGTGGTATTTAATTGGGTCTACCTTGATGTCTCGATGGGCGATGGGTGGCGATTGTGAGTGCATGGCGGCTACTGCTCGTGCCATTTGGTAGAAAATCCTCAGCACCACGGGTGGATCAATGGCACTGTTATCTGCCTTGAAACAGTCTATCAGTGAACCACCTAGAAATATCAAAGGCTATAGTAAAAGATATAGTAGTAGGTATTAGGATAACATACCCTTACAGAGTTCTGTGAGGAGCAGGTACTGGGCGCCCTGATTGGAGGACGGAGCCGTGTAACTGGAGCCCACGAATGCCACGATGTTTCCATGACCCGACAGCTGCTTGTGGATTGCAATCTCGTTGATGATGGCGTTGCAGGCCTGCTGATCTGCTCCAATCAGTCGCTTGAGGGCGTACTCGGTGCCAGTTTGCAAATCTTGGGCGACGTACACAAAGGCATAGCCGCCTGAAAAAAGAGTGGTGGGAGAGAGCAGGCGGAAGTTGATAAGAAATGCTGATAAGGGGCTGCTTAAAAGGGGTACTCCAGTCAAAAGAGAATAATAGTAATACAATATTTAGTTTTTTGCGTTTAAAAACAAGTATCTACTAGCTTGTAATTACAGATTTTATTAAATGAAAAATGTAGTATAGAAGAAACTCTTTCTAAGAAGCTTCAAATTGAGGTTTAAAACATATTCTCTTAAGTGGATTATGTTCGTAATTTCGTCTAGATTTATGAATATATTATAAACTGGATCCAAGCTTTACAAAATTAGAGGACAGACTTCCTAATTGACAATTGCCCCAAAGATATGCAAATAAATGCAAGACCCATTCTAATGCCAATTACAGGGTTTCCTCGCAGAAGAATAATAGGGGGAGTACTGGTAACCGCCGCCCCTTATCCTCAGGTTCGTTATATAAGAACTGGGCCCCCGTTTCGATCGCTTCGAAATAGCTTGCATGAGTCATGGTTTTATTGTTTTATTTCGAGGAAAAAGAAGCTGGGGCCAACGCACTTGAAGCACAGCTTGAAAGATTCGGAAGTGGGGTCGACTTGCCGACGAATCGGTTCGCTCGAACGAAGAGACACGAAATCAGAAAGCGTAAACAAAGCATTTTACTAGCTGCATCGCGTTAGCTCCGCTTCCTATTGATTTTTGCCTTTGTCACTGGGGTATCGCCCCCCTTTGGACGGCGACCTGCTTCTCACCTTCGGCGATGACACATTTGGTGCGCAACCTGTGGCCACTGACTTCCACATTTTGGCCAACATAGCCGTTGTCCGTTGGAGCTCCTCCTCCGCCTCCGACCCCACCAACGATTCCTGCAGCCCCGTTGGCAGCTGTGCTACCATCCGCCGAACTGAAGTAGTTAAAATTGAGCGACTTGAAGAAATCGCCCATTTTTCTGCGGCTCTACGGTGTTTTCAAGTGTATACGCGGCGGCGCTCCTGGTCGCGAATAGAGTGTTTTGAATGTCCGGTATCTATTAACAGAATTTAAACATTTTTGCTGTGCGTGACCACAAAAAAATAAGAATATATCAAAATATCAATATATCGATAGTCCTTGTTACTAAATGCATCGTGTTTCTATCGTAATATCGAAAATACGATAGTTTTTTTCTTCATTTTTATAATATTAGTTGCCTATAATATTTAAACTTGTTTTTTATGTTTATTTCAAGTTTTTTATTCAGTAATTGGTAATGTATGGATAACATAAACGATAACGATAATAAATGTAATAATCATCGTGGTGTAATGGAGGCCGTAACAGCAGGTTACTTTACAGCTGTTAATTAACATAGATATACTTTTCCAGTTTGTAAATTCCCGCCAACACAAAAACGCTTATAAAGGTTTCAAAAATTTCAATTCTCAATGAACTTTACTTCTTTTTCATTATTTGATTTCCACTCTAGAATATTTGATATTTAAAGGATTTCTAGAGACATATATAAGCCAAAGAAACCGAGATATTAAAAAAAAAAAAAATGATTTTAACTCAATGTTAAAGATTTATCTAAAGTTATATTTGATAATTGGTTAAGGTTTTGAATTCCATTTTTAACTAAGATTTAAATCATTTAAGCTAAAATATTTAAATGATTTAAATATAAATTTACACAATTTTTTAATCAGTTTCTTTTTCTTTTTTTTAATTTTTTCAATAAATGTAGGAACCTTTATTTTACTGGAAATGGAAATTAAAAAGAAAAATAAAATAGTAGTGTTAAGTGTTAGTGTAGCTAGTGTTCGATTTTTTGTCAATTTTTCCCATGAACTCCCTTGAAAATGGAAAAATGCATGGGAATGGCGAGATGGCCCACAGCGAAGTCTGTATCTTTGCCAATTTTTACATGATCCTTGAGCGGAATACCTTGATCGAATTGTCGATCAATTCTCCATAAACCTACATTAAAACCTCGCATCGAATTTTTTTTTAGATTTTTTGTCAATTTTTCCCATGGACTCCCTTGAAAATGGGGAAATGCATGGGATCGGCTATATGGCCCACTGCGAAGTCTGTATCTTTGCCAATTTTTACCTGATCCTTGAGCAGAATACCTTGATCGAATTGTCTATCGTTTCTCCATAAATCTACATTAAAACCTCGCATCGAATTTTTTTTTATATTTTTTGTCAATTTTTTCCATGGACTCCCTTGAATATGGAGAGATGCATGGGATCGGCTATATGGCCCACTGCGAAGTCTGTATCTTTGCCAATTTTTACCTGATCCTTGAGCAGAATACCTTGATCGAATTGTCTTTCGATTCTCCATAAATCTACATTAAAACCTCGTATCGAATTTTTTTTTAGATTTTTTGTCAATTTTTTCCATGGACTCCCTTGTAAATGGGGAAATGCATGGGAACGGCTAGATGGCCCACAGCGAAGTCTGTATCTTTGTCAATTTTTACATGATCCTTGAGCGGAATACCTTGATCGAATTGTCGATCAATTCTCCATAAACCTACATTAAAACCTCGCATCGAATTTTTTTTTAGATTTTTTGTCAATTTTTCCCATGGACTCCCTTGAAAATGGGGAAATGCATGGGATCGGCTATATGGCCCACTGCGAAGTCTGTATCTTTGCCAATTTTTACCTGATCCTTGAGCAGAATACCTTGATCGAATTGTCTATCGTTTCTCCATAAATCTACATTAAAACCTCGCATCGAATTTTTTTTTATATTTTTTGTCAATTTTTTCCATGGACTCCCTTGAATATGGAGAGATGCATGGGATCGGCTATATGGCCCACTGCGAAGTCTGTATCTTTGCCAATTTTTACCTGATCCTTGAGCAGAATACCTTGATCGAATTGTCTATCGATTCTCCATAAATCTATATTAAAACCTCGCATCGAATTTTTTTTTAGATTTTTTGTCAATTTTTCCCATGGACTGCCTTATAAATGGGGAAATGCATGGGAACGGCTAGATGGCCCACAGCGAAGTCTGTATCTTTTCCAATTTTTACATGATCCTTGAGCGGAATACCTTGATCGAATTGTCTAGCGATTCTCCATAAATCTACATTAAAACCTCCCATCGAATTTTTTTTAGATGTTTTGTCAATTTTTCCCATGGACTTCCTTGAAATTGGAAAAATGCATGGGAACGGCTAGATGGCCCACAGCGAAGTCTGTATCTTTGCGAATTTTTACATGATCCTTGAGCGGAATACCTTGATCGAATTGTCTATCGATTCTCCATAAATCTCTATCAAAACCTCCCATCGAACTTTTTTAGGATTTTTTGTCAATTTCTTCCATTGACAGTGTTAGTGCAAGTAGTTAAGTTAAGCATTAGTGATAATCCAAATATTTAAAACTTAATTCAGCCTAAACAACTTGATAGTTCAAAAATTTTAAAATTGTATTGAAAAATGTACCAAATGACAAAAAATATTTGATGGGAATGAACTTTTCAAGGCGTTAAGTTGTTAGCCAGCCATGGAATATTTTGATCGGCTTTTCCGAAAAGTCTTTGCCCTTTGAGGCGGCCGTGTGTAATTTCCCGCATTTATTGTGTGCACCGGTTGGGTAAATAACTTCAAAACACATGTATCTTTAAGCCAATTCAAGGTCCCCCCTGGCAAAGTTCGAATTCAAATGGCAGCTGCAATAAAGTTTTCGGCTTCCTGATGTGACAAAGACAAAATCAACAACTCATTGGGGAAAACATCAACTTCACTTTCCGTTGCAATAAATGGGATGGGTCGGTGGGTTGGGATTAGGAAACCGGGGGTATGACTTGTAAGCCCTTTGATGGCATTAGGGTTCCGCCCACGGAACCCCCAATAAAGCCGACAAATTGTCTCTGAATGTGAGCTACGTTTTGTTACGCTTGCTGGCGATGCCTCAGTTGATAGTGCCGTAAGTTTGCGCAAATTCAGATGGCGGAGTATGTAATTTTGACACACTTTAGAGTGTCAAGTGTGCAATTTTCAGTTGCCATCTGACAAGCTTCACATAACGCCTGGAAATCGTAAAAATGTAAATTATGCCCCAGCCGGCTTATCAGCGTGTCGCGGCCATTAAAGTTTTAAAACAAAAAAGCGAGAGTAAAGCGATATAGCTCCAAGCGCCACAAGTATTGATCGCAATGGCAGCATCTATGCCAGTATAACATTGACACAATTTTTGTGGCATGTGCAATGCCCTGACTAATGTAAGTCAATAAGCATTTTCCGAGCCATTTGTGGCGGGATGGTAAAACCGGGCCCTGGCTCTGGAAAATATTGTGCTGAGGCCGACATTCTGTTTGGACAATTGTGGTCGAGAACACACGGCTCCGGCAATACCCGTAACCTTCACTGGACTCGAAACTGGAGTAACCATGTTGCTGCAAAATATTTATAGACTGATCTTTCTAGTGCAGACTGTATCAATTGTGTCCTTTGTCGAGGCTCAGTTTTACTACCCGGGGACTTTTAATTATGCCCCCACCCAGGCTCCAGTGGCTGCACCTGCGTCAGCACCTCGTTTTGTGCTGTTCAACCCGTTTAGTGGCCAGCAGTTTGAGCCTTTTCGTTATACTGCTTTTTTGAGGCGCGGCAACCGGAAACCACAAGTCAATGGCAATATTGTGGAGTTGCCCCAACTGTGGCAGCCTTGTTCCTGCGCCGAATTCGTCTGCCGTTGCTGTCTGGGACTGGTCTTTGGATTCGGAGAGGCGTATAACCAGCGAGTTTGTGCCGCCATTGAGTACAACAGGGCGGATGTGGGACTTCGGTTAAGCGTGGAACTGAACCAACGTGCCGTGGCCAATTTTGGTTTCTCCGCCAGGAATCCGCCGGACTACTGTGTACCACTATTACTGCCATTACCACTCTTCAGTTGTTTGCGGCTTTACGATATTCGGGCCTTTGGAGAGGGCAATGTCCAGGTGTGCCTCTCAGTGGTCTTCAAAGTGCTGGTCAGTCAGTTCTTTGAATACCGCTTCAACTGCCTTCGTTTCGGGCCCAATGGCGTATTTTTCGTACGTGATGCACTGCAGCAGGATGCAGACGCCCAGGAGCTGGATAAACAGATTGCTCTGCCGGCTTCACCTTCTCCGGAAATGAACAAAAGACGCGTCAATCTTCCCAACGATAAACTGGCCGCGGCCAACACCTTGGGTTACTATGGCTCCTAATTTGTGTCTTTCCCTTTCTTTGAGTTAAAAATTATTCATCATGATCTATGTATGCATGCCTCATCATTCTATTACATGTTAAGTGAAAAAAGTGAAACTTCTGTTAATTAAAAAGTCTTTTATTCCGAGCCCCGCCCGCTCATGAAAATTGCGAAAATTGGCAATAAAACTGAAGCCTAGCTTTGGCTTCAGTGAGCGATGATGCGACTGCCTTAGATTCGAATCTTCAGCCACTCCAAGACATAAAACACCTTTATAGTCTATGTACAATGTACTTTTTTTTGGCTGTATGTAATGGTTAACGAGCGAGCAACATGAAAATTACCTTTCTGGGCGCTATCTAAAGGTAACTGGGGAAAGGCAGGCACCATCCCTTTTAAAGTCTTAGGCCTAGGTAGGCCTCATATAAAATTCCTTTCGATAAATATTCATATTTTTCAGCTATTCCATTGTTTTATGAACGTACAAAAAAAGGTACCTCAAGCCAAAGATTTTTATCAAGTTTTTAACTAGTTTTGAATTATTAATCTATTATAATCTAATTGTTATGGGTTCAACAATTAGACTGTGAAATTTAACGAGTGCGCATTTATTTATGAGAAATTTTCGTAAAGCTATTCATCTCAATTATGGTTTGAACAAATTGGATTTGCCAGCGCTATTAATTAAAATATGGTTAAGTTTAGTAATTAGCAATAGTTATGCAATGAATTAGGGTAATAGATAAATGGGAGAAATGACTTGTTTTCTTTATAAATAATCAAACATATGGTTATCATAACTAAATAAGCATAATCTTGTTTTCTTGGTAATGGAAATTAAAATAAAGGTCGAAATAGTTATGGTTCTTGAACTTAAATTCTGTTGTTTACTAAAGATGTTTGTATTTATTCTTGAAATTTTCATAAAGTGAAGGTTTTAGACAATTTTTTTAATAAACAATGTGGGTTTTCTAAGGTGTTTATTGCTATTGACTTTAAAAACCGTCTTTTGCAGCCTGTCATATGACATTATTTATGGTAATACTTAAAAAATACTTAAAAAGTATTAAAATGGTTTTAATTAGAGATCTTTCTTAGCCTTAATTCGGTTTTTATTGAAGATCGTATAAAATCGAAAAAAGCTGTAAAATATGTTTTGGTGATATTTGAATTTTTGTTTATCAAAATCCCAAACCTACACAAGTCCTTCTAAAAAAAGCTTACAAAAGTAGTTCTTCCGGTCAGTTAAAAAAATTATTTTTGAGTTTTTGGAAGTCACCGGAATCTTCAGATGTCACTGAAGATATATAGTTTGAGTGACAAGACGTTGAACCTCTGGAAACTTGCCAAAAACAAAAAACAGATTGAGACAAACACACACAGATACAAAAGATGAGAGCTCTGCAGCTACGCCTCAAACACGCTGTTTTTGTTGTGGCTTGAAGCGGCGCAATTGCGCAATTGTTCGCCGATTTCGGCTGCCTCTTTTTCTGTGATATGTTTCGGCTTTGTTTACAGTCTCACTCGCCGAGTGGAAATCACAGTCTCAGTTAATGTTGCTGTTTTCGAGAGCAATTTCGCTGTGACTTTGGCGTTGGCTTAACAGCCTTTGGGTCCGTTCGTCTTTGGCGTTGGCTTATACACTGAAAGAAAATTATAAGTTAGTTACAATTTCTGCTTTTTTCTTCAAGCCTTATACGATATCGGACAAGTTGTAAAGCATTAAACCCATACCATCTTTGAATGTATATTCTTACCAATCTTTGTAACCATATTTTCTCTCTGTGCATTAAAAGAGTTTGTCTCTCTGGCCAGGTATTGACTGAGTGCGAGTGCTGGTTAAGTATCGTTGTTTGCGTTCGTTACCGTTGGCATCGGCGCGGCGGCGTTACCTTCCCGGCTCTGCTCCGTTGCCGCTGCTGCTGCTGTTGCCTTTGTTGCTGTTGGTGTTGCTGCCGCTCCAGCTGCTGCCGCCTCGTCTGCGGCTCTGTCGGCCTCCAAACATATGTATACATAATCATTTTTACTTTTTTTCTGTCGTTTTCCACCTCGCTGCCTTTTTTACTTGCAAGCAAAAGTTTTTCATTCGCCATCAGTTGTATTTCGGTTCGCGCTGCGATCTGTCGCACAATTTAGCCGCTTGTGAGAAAAACCCAAACCCAAAGTCAAAGACCAAAATCCACAGATCCAGCGGATCAATCTTCTGATAATTGCAACGAGTTACCAACAATAAGAGTGAGTCTTCGCAGCATACAGGGCGTATACGTAATATCCGTTCATGGGATTTACTGCAAAAGGATACATTTTTTTTTGGCAAAGTTTAGGTATAAACGGTTGCTAAACCTCTTTTAAAGTTGTTTAGTTGCCGGGAGTTTCCTTGCTAGTTGTTTGTTGTCATTTTAACTGGTTTTTTCCGACTTTGTGCACTGACCTACCCCAAACTACTTACCCTTTTATTCGAGCTTACAAACGAGTCGGCACTCGAGGCACTCAGAGAACACTCATCCGAATGATGACAACTTTTCAAACTGAAGTCCGTGCGGGGGCTAAGTGCACAGGAAATAACAGTGGGCTATGACAGGCAGTCAGGCAGACAGACTGGTAGACAAACTTGGGCACAAACCTTTGACTTGGCGGCACTCTGAAACGTTTGAAAGTAAGAAGAGTTTCACTTTCAATTGCGACACCCAGGGTGTTTTAAGGGACGGGATGGCAGGGCGCCGCTGACTAACGTGTGTAATTAAAAGATGCTGGCTAAAAAGAGCTAAACAAAAATCATAATTCATATGAACTGGCCAGGCCAGGCCAGAGGAGGGCGCCTTGCCGAGCACAGCATCTGGAGGTGGCTTACGATCTCTGGGGGGATTTCACATTTCATTGCGCAGAAAGTACGAATGTGGATAAGTGAACAGACGGACAAAAATCATGTAAAGCTTCTCACTTTTGGGTGGGAAATGTTAATCATAAAAAAAAGTAAAAGTGAAATTAATACAGAGCCGCGGCAGTAGCACCGGCAAACTACATTAACCGCAGCGCAGTCTCATTTGCATTTCGCACATGACAGTGTCAGCAGCAGCAGCAGCAGCATTACTACTACAGCGTCATCTATTGGCCGCCGCAGAAATTACAGCCGATCGTCAATAACAATATGCCAGAGACGGCAGGCGTTCAATTGCCCGGCTATGACCTGACTACCAATTTACGATCCCAGCTCCCGGCTGCCCCTCTGACTCTTCAACTCCAAAGCCCCTCCTCTTATGCATTTTGTGGGCGGCACCGCGATTTCAATTCAGCCTTTGTTGCCAGATCCCCTCCACAATGCATGGAGTGTGGCTTTGATTGACACTCTGACATGGCCCAAAAGTAGTCGCTGATGGAGATGGTTACTTCCCCCATCGGCCCTCCCGCCCCTTCCAGCTTTGAGTGAGAGTTACGTTCTACGAAGAGTCAACGGACAGCTGAGCGGCAGTTGCAACATAGCCCGACCCGTCATTAAGTGTGCGCTGCATGGCTTTTATTTTTTTTAATTTATTTCGTAGGCAAAAAGACAACAATGAAATGTGCACGTGTAGGCCAAGACATAGGAAATAATTGCAGGTTGCATTTCAACACACGCTCCCAATCGCTTTGCTTGGCCGATTATGGCCATAATAAGGGTTATGGCCAAGCCAAGAGATGAATGTTTCGACCGCATTTCCGCCGCTCACTCATCGCCCCACTATGGCGCAGTGACATAACACCCAAAAGTGGCGTCGAAGTTGCCGAAAAAAAGCCGCTTAGTCGAAAATAAAAAAAATAGTCGTGACATTGAAGCGTGCGCTTTGTCACTGCAGTCGCCAGTCCAGCGGCCTAAAAACGCTGGCTGGCCAGTGCGAAAGCACCGGGCCAAAAGAAATGGCCCGAACGACTTGTATTCATTGTTGGATCTTTTCTGCTCGTCGGATCGCGTGGTCGTTGGTGCTGTTTTTGGGGATTCGGTGCAAGCACAAAACTCGTTTTAGTGCTTCGTCAGTAACATTTCATAACAAAGACGAAATCAGAGCTAGACAATAGACATCGAACTCAGAATACCCTTCAGCCAATCCCGTTTATTTTTTTTAAAAGGTAGATTCATAAGGTATTCCGCTTTTTTTTAGAAGTTCACCAAGCCCTCCTACATTCATGTTGGACTTTATTTATCATGAAATGCCTTATAAAATCTTAAGCTTTGTTTTTAATTCGAAAACATCCCATAAAGAATCCAAGTATATTACCCTTTTTAAGGTACATCGGGGCAAAGGCGCGTCTTGGAGCTGGCCGGCTGACTCGAGTTGAAAGTGAAAGTCTTGCCGAGCGGAGCGGAGCGTTTTGGGTCGACGAGCAGCCTCGTGGTTAGCCATCCAGAGCTCCAGCTCCAGCTCCGGCGGTTCCAACTCCCAGTTCCAATAATAGACGCGGTCGTGCCGTGAACTCTGCAGCGCGCATTTACATTAAAATTGCAATTTACAATTTACTTAATTGTTTCTTTTTTTTTTTTTCGCCATCGCCGGCCAATTTTCACTCATTAGTGGCTTATTGGATCGGTGGCCAGAGCCTCGGTGGCGTATGCGTAATATTTCTGACCGCACCCAATTATGGAGATTGGATAATAAATATATAGCCGTGCCATTGACAGGTAAACCATTGCTCCGGTGAACTACCTTTCCACATGGCCGATTGCGGGCTGATAAAAGTATTTTTGAAATCAATTTTCTGTTAATTTTCGAATTGTAAATCATAATAATGTGTTCTTATCAACGATTTTAGGTGTTTCTATAAGTTATGGTGTTATAAAATACTTAGGATTTATTAATGGGATGAAACAAAAAAATATATATGTTGTTATAGAAAGATATATAAGTAGGTTCTGATTGTGGTCTTGACAAACTGAGAAATAAGTAAACAATATTAAATAGTTATTAAGTTCTTTAGAGAGTTGACATCAAATTGAATGTCGACGGCCTAGCAACAACGCCAGCAAGCCGGTAAATAGTTTCAATAATTTCCTCATGCCACTCGCCGGCAATGAAAGTTGCAGTTTTAATTGATGTTTCGCTTTCTGAGCCCAACGCACCCAGTTCAAACACGCAAATGCAATAAAATCTTCGCCGGTGCACTGAACCAACTACAACCGGCTTGTTTTTAAGATATCTGTCGATAATTCAATTATAAAAGCGCGGGAAATTCAACGAGGTGTTGAAAGAGATCACCTTTAAGCTGTCACGAGTTTCCCGCATTTTTAAGATGAAATGAGTAATGGGTTTGATTAAAAATAAACTTTTGTACACGCTCTTAAGGTTTTCACAATTTATAACTATTTTAAAATTGGCACTAACGTATAATATCCTTTACAGCTCCTTCCTCTAAAGATGGTTGCTTCATGCTGGTGGAGATGCCTCGCTATTGCAGTTTTGGTGGCCTGTATGGCAGGATCAATGGCCCTGTCGGAGAATTCGAATAGCTGGAACCCAAGTGGAACTACCGGCAAACCCGCCTTGATAAGAACAGAGCTTCGATTTGGACGTAATCTGGACCCCTCCAAGGTGCGAGTGGTCAGTGTCAAGGGCAGCAAAGGCGACGACGTTGAGATCCTTGTAGGAAAAAATAGCCGCAAGGCTAGGGCTGAGGATGCAGCTGGCTCCTTCTTTGTACGCAGTTCAGATGTCAAACGTCCTGTTATCTCGCCACCCAGCAATGCCAGCGGTCGCCAGTTGACCTTTGAACACAGTCCGGCATTGTTGAAGCAAAGCGAGTTAGCCCGCCAGATGGGAGAATATCGCCAGAGGAAGGTCGAGGCGGAGCAGCGGCAGGCCAAGCTGATACAGCTCCAGTTGGCCAAGGCCCAATCAAAAGCTCTGGAGTTTGGGTCGGTTCAGGGAGCTGGTGATTCCCGACGTGGACGCCAACTGGCAGCGGATATATCCTGGCAACCAACGGCTCAGAAAAACAACCGTGATAGCTTCTCCTTCGCCAACGATCGTCAATGGCAACCATTTTCGTTGGCCGACTCTGTTGAGTTCTATCCCAGAATCCAACGACAGGCTGCCCAGGCTCCTGGCTTAAGTTTCCCCCGTGACATGGAATACGCGGCTTCGGAAACCCACGAGTTCTATGACAACGAGAGGGATAATCGTGCATACGCCAGCAGTGGAGGATCCCAGCGTTACCGTCCGCAGAATATTATCACAAAACACAACTACAATGCCTTGCCGCAGAAATCCAAGTACGTTACCTACATGCCTCATTCTGTGGTGGTGACCGCCAGCGCCGGAGTGGCAGCTCCAACGGCTACGCCCGTTCGGCGACCGGCCCAATTCAGCGGACACGGCAGTCCGCATCGCAATCCCATCGGCCAAAGCACCCACAGCGTAGTCGACGGACCTGCCGTGACGCTCATTGAGGGTGTCCGAGTGCCGGACACCGCCGAGGATAAGGTCAAGACCTGGCGTAACGCTCGAGTCCTAAACAACCAGCTGGTGCCATATCCCGAGGGCTACACGCCGCCTCGGGTGCAGATGCCCAGCTTCGATAGATAGACTCGGAGCCAGGATGTTTCCGGTTCCGGTTCCGGTTTTTGGGTGCTCAATGGTTACTGCTATTTATTGATTTGTTTATTGTTAAGTTATTTATAAATGTTGCATTAAAGTTGTCAAGGAAATTTAATGTGAGTTGATCTAAGGCATGAAATCGTTGACAGTCAAGACCCGAAGATCGGACTTGCGGAGCAAGCGGGCGCAGGAACTGGCGTCAAAGGTCAAGTAGACAACGTGCATAGGGGCAGTCTGCATAAAACCATTCTCGGACAAGGTGTAGCGGTAGGGCTTAAGTAGTTCCAAGTAAACAAAAGCAGCCGGACGTTTTATTTTAATGCTGATACTTATGCTATTACGAACAACGTCGCCGGTTGTTAGACAATAGCGGGAGGCGATCTCATACTAGAAAGGAAATCATTTAAAGAATTGGTCAGAAAAATCTTAAAAAAGCACTTCAACTCACCTCCAGCTCAGGATCTTCCATACCAATGGCGCTACGCAAGCTACTAGGAAAGTAGTAGGTTTTGGATATCACATCCTGGTCGCGCCGCAGCTGTAGTTCCAGGAAGGCATTACGTCTATTGTATTCACCTTTCAATATATCATTTATGGGTATTATTTTGTCATACTGAACTCCATTGGGCCGCAAGGTCACTGGCCAGGTTGTAAAGGAGTGGGGCAAGAGCTGCGACCACAAATGAACATTGGCCACCACATTAAGGCCCTGGGTATCCACTTTAAGTTGGTCGCAGATTAGCGAGATGTTCAAGGAATCGGTGGGTTTATCGTAAAGAGCCACTATTGAGATGGGGGCCAAAAAATCTCTTGCCCAATAGTGTAGTATCTGTGAGGGGTATAAAATATTACTTTTATAGCAAAGAGGTGTAAAGTAAGTGTAAAAAACCCACCTTCCAATTGCCATAAAAATCAATGCCAGACCAAGAAGGCGCCACCCAAACATCGTTTAGCTGCCAGTAGAGGGCACCCATGGTGTTGTGCGGTGTATCCCGGAGACTGCGGTACAATTCCGTCTCAACCTTGGTCGCCATCGCCTGGGCAATCTGGCTCAAGTAGATCAGACCATTGACATAGTTCTCGTCCTCCGGGAGGGGCAGCGGCAGGTGTCTTTCCACTAGAGCGATCACGGGGGTATTGCCCAGAGGATGATGCTGCCGATGGTGCAATAAAGTGAGGAGATCATCGTCATCGTTCTTGCTCCGCTGCCAGGCATAGGCGCCTGGGAAGCTCTGGAAGCCATATTCGCTGGAGAATCGGGGGCGAGGGAATATCGCTGGATCCCAGGCATCCTTAAGGTAGTCGTAAAAGTGAACTAAAAAATAACACATGTTATGTTTGAGTATTATTGGAAATAGTTAAACTCACCGTCGCCGTAGTGATTGTCCTGAGGATTGGCAGAAATGTAGTTATCCTGCTCACTGGCTTTGCCATTCGACGGTGATGATACCAATGGATCGGGTCTTGAATTATGCGAAATAAGCTTTAGTTCGTGGATGACATTGGCCAGATAGAGTTCCCGGTACTCCGAAGAGAAGCGACCTTGGTCGTAGGCAGTTCCATACCAATTTTGAACTAAAGCTGCTTCGTTTTCGTTGTTGGTCACAAAGATCGCCACACTAGGGTGATGAGATAATCGCTTGGCATTCTGCCGCACCTCCTCGCGAACCGAGGCCAGGAACTCATCGCCCACAGGATACATGGCGCAGGCAAACATCATGTCCTGCCAGATGAACAGGCCCAGCTTGTCGGCTAATTCGTAGAAGTAGTCCGATTCGTAGACTCCACCTCCCCAAACTCTCAACATGTTCATGTTGGCCTCCTTGGCGGAATGCAGAATGTGCGAAACTGTTAAAAATTAAACTCATATTATTTAAAAATAATCCTAAATAGTTTTTAGATTTAAAAACTCACTCTGATCTTCTGTTTGCTGTTCGGGTAGGATGTGAGATGGTATATAGTTGCTGCCCTTCATGAACATCTCGACGCCGTTGACTTTGAAGAGGAAGGTGTTTCCCAACCCATCCGGGGCCGGCCTCTCCACCAGCTCTACGGTCCGGAAGCCAACACGCAGCGATTTGTGCGACTTGGTCTTGGCCCGGAGCTCGGGGGAATCGCCACGCCAGGCCTTGAGAGTGAAGTGAAGCGGATAAAGCTTCTGCTCGCCGTAGCCATTGGGCCACCAAGTTTCTACTTTCTCCTGCAGAACGACAACAACAATTGACACAGATCGCCGTGGAAATTAGCGGGCGGTACTCACAATTGGAACGGCCTGATCGAACTCAATTACTGGTGCCAAGTGGCTAATGGATTTCGTGGCGTATGCATCTACGATCACCGGAAGGTCCAATAGTTCGCTGGAAAGCATAAATGGTCAGTCACTTGTATTCTTATTTTGGGGGCAAGGCCACTTACACGGTATACAAGATGAGTCGGCCGTAGAAGTCCTTCTTGCCCACGGCATCCAAATAGCAACGAATGTGCATGTTCCAGTGCGTCCTATTTCGAGTGATGTCCACGTCCACGTCCCTTATGACAGCCACCTCGTAAATCTCCAGCTCGACGGGCTTCCAGATGCCGACTGAAGGAGCGGCCGGACCCCAATCCCAGGAGAAGCTGGCCTGCATTTTTCGCAACATGTTCATGTGGCACTCGCCGTTGTAATCCTTTGGCGGGCAGTCGGGTGGCACGCTTTTTCCCAAATAGTCCAGCACTTGGGCCCTCAAACGGGCTGCTGCCACCGGGGACTGGATCTCCACTTCCAGAACATTTTCCGACTGAAGTAGAGACGTCACATCGAAGGAATACCGGACAAACATGTTATCCGTACGACCCAGTAATTCGTGGTTAAGTCTAATCTCCGCCACGGTATCAATGCCATGGAAAGTAAGGTTTACATGGCCACCTTTGTAGTGATCGACATCGACTATTTGGGGATAATAAAATATAAAAGATTGTAAACGGTTTCTTATTATATATATAAACTATTATAGGTGTTCAATCGAAAGTCATTGTATAATTTTGTCATATCTTATCGTTTCAAAGGACTAAGTTGTTTTTAAAGTCATTTTTATGATAGCTCTCGAACCCAGTGGGGTACTTAAGAACCTTTTGGACTTTAGTTATCATAGCGCCTTTAATCGATTTAAAAACACTTATTCCTAATGATTATTGCCTCGCGTAGATGAAAGAATTTCTTAAAAATACTTAAACAAATATGCACTTATTACCTTCATGAAATTTTAAACTGCATACTTACACTGAAAACTATTGGAGTATGTCCAGTTATCGTAGGAGAGCCAACGCAAATAGATATCATTGAAGGAGTCCAGAACTTCGGGGCCAAAGGCACTGTATATTCCCGACGGAAGGGTTTGATTCGGAATTTTTAGGGCTGTGGAAATAGGCAGATTTCAATGTTAGAACCTTTTTTCCCACACTCGCCTGGCGCTAAAGATAAGCTTTTCAGTTTTTTGGTTTCTGTTTAGTAAACAAACCGTAGAATTCACTTCAACAAGGCCGATTGTGTTTCGGTTACTAATCTCTCACATAATTTCATTTATTATTTACGGGCTATCTTTATATCAAAATTCTCTTTTGATTAGACAAAGCACTTTCCGGTAATAATGAAGCCATGAAAAAGGAATAATGGTCAATTTTGGGTCCTACTTACTGCCATTCTGGTTAGTTATGATCCAATTACTCCCCAGCTCGATCACCTCCACTGCATCGCCCTGAACGGAGCCCAGAAAGAAGCTGAATAGAAGGCCGGCAAGAAGACGGGAAGGGGCTCCTCCGGAGAGTCCACTAAGGAATTGGCTGTGCATTTGGAATTAGTATTGTGCCCAAGCACCCAGGGCTATTTTAAAGTTCACACTAGCTCCCCTCTTCAATGAGTATATGGAAAAGTTATAGAGCGCCGATCCAAAAGCGTGGAGCTCCTCCGCCGATGCCGCCGCCACTCAAACTGCAAAAGCGATGGCCTGCTCGCCGACTTGGAACCGCTGTGTTGTGGCGTCCCTCCGGCAAGTGAGAGTGCGAGTGGGAGTGGAAGAGAGCTACCTGGAAAGAAAAAGAGGGACGCGGCGTTGGGGACTTGGGGGCGCCGTAGAGAGAGCGTCGGTAGAACGTCGATAATGAAATTAATTTCAGTGTCATGCTCTCGAAAGGTTGAGGCCGGTAATAACACACTGCGGGAAAATAATGTACTCATATTTTGTTTAATACTTTCTTCCGAAATCTTTGAGGTTAATATTAAATATTAAATTTAAAGTAAATATTGGTTCATGGTTTGAACTCGAATATGATTGTTGGTCAGTGTGAGGCATTCGGAGCTATTCTCGATCACTAAATGCACGGTTCTCCTTGGTTCTGTTTGGGTGAAACCGTTCATGGAGAACTGGTGGCGATTCCTCATATAACTAGAATGCGTGAGCTCCAGATACACCAGAAGAGCCGGAGACTTTACGGTGATTTGCAAACTAAAGCGATTGGCATACGGAGCTTTGGCAGAACTGCAATCTTGACCAGCAACCTGAATCTGCAAGAAAATATTCAAATTAATTTTGGAAATGGTTATTCATAGGGTAAAGTACTTACTTGAATATCAGGATTTTTAATTCCCGTAATATTTTTGATGGCCACTGGATAAAAGAAGTTTCTTGCCAAAGTAGTCCGATTTTTATTCTCCAATATAATTTCAAAAAATATCTCCGACTTGGAGTGGCCATCTAGGACCAAATAGCTAAGAGGTATTTGGCGTAGTTCCAATTCGTTAGAGCCCTGTGAAAAACTATTACATAAATCATAATGAATGTCACCGGCTTAGTGAAGCTTACCAGGCCAAAATCACGAGCAATTTTCTTCTTTGCCATTAAATCCGTCCACAAGTATGTGTTTATTTGCACAGAATACAGCTGCATGTCCGAGTGCTCCGAATAATCCTCCCGGGTGAGGGTGACATTCAAGCTGTCTGATTTTTCATCATATAAAGCTATTACGGTTGTCGGGGCCATAAAGTTCTTGGCCCAGTACTGAACCAGTTTGTAGTTTCCGTAGAAATCAATACACGACCAGGTTGGCGCCACCCAAACGTCGTTTAGTTGCCAAATAAGGGCTCCCATTGTCCCTTTTTCGGTGCGATGGCTCCGGAATACATCGACGGCCATTTTGCTGGTCATGGCCTGGGTCACCTGGCTGAAGTAGATAAACTTTTCAATGTTCTCGTCCCAGTTGTGGGGAGTGAATGGCAGTTGGTTGACAATTTGCTGGATTATGGGAATGAATCCTTTTGGGTCTCTCTGCCGGTTGCGGATATGTGTGGCAATTTCTTCTTGGGTGGTATTCACACCATTTTCCAGTTCGCGTTGCCAGGAGGACATCAAGGGCAGACTCCCGTAGCCGAACTCGGAAACAAAACGGGCTTTAGGATAGGTTGCGGGCTCAAAGCCATCCATTTGATCCTCCCAAAAGTGAACTGTGAAAAGTCAAAATCTCTTATAAGGTCAAAAAACGTTTACCCTTGACTTACCATCTCCGTAGTTGGGACTTTGTGGGTCTGCTGGTAAGTCCCCACTTGACTCAGCAATTCCCAAGGATGGAGTAGAGATCATAGGTCCTGGACGAGGACTAAAATCATATCTGGATATTATGTTCAAATCTTCCTTTAGCGTATCCACAAACAGAGTCTTATAATCTTTTACCAAACGGTCATAGTTTTCACCAAGTTCGGTTTTGTTTTGAACCAAAAACAGCTCTATTTCATTGTTGGTTACGATCAAGGCCAAGCTGGGATGGTAGGAAATCCGCTGGGCATTCTGCACAGCCTCCAAACGCACTAAGGTCACAAAATCTTCTGCCAGGGGATAGGCAGCCTGGGAAAAGGTCATGTCCTGCCAGATCAAAATGCCATAGAAATCAGCCAGATTATAAAAAGTATCCGACTCGTAGAGACCTCCGCCCCAAACTCGAATCATGTTCATGTTTGCCTCCTTGGCTGATTTTAATAAATACTCCACTGAAACAGGAAAAATCAATAAATTAGTTTTTATTATAAAGAAATAATAGACTCACCCGTTTCCGATTCTGCTGACAATTCTGGCAGGGTAGAAGCTGGTACATAGTTGGCTCCCTTCATAAATATTGGATGTCCATTCACGCGAAAATAGAAGCTTCTGCCAGTGTCTATTTTAAAGATAAATAAGACTATACCACATTATGGTATTTGCTAGGACAATCTTACCATCTTTATCCTCTACTAATTCAATTGTGCGAAAACCAATTTTCAAAGTCTTTTCTGACTCCAATCGGGAACTAATTTGCGAGCTGTTTCCGGTATAGCATTTGATGGAGAACATTATAGGGTAAAGCCTTTGCTGGCCATAACCATTAGGCCACCACAAAGAGACGCGTTCCTAAAAAAATATTATTTTTGAAGTATAATATTTTGTAGAAATGTTGGTAATTTCCTTTACCTGTGGTATGTGTATTTGAAATTCCAAAACGGGAGCATCAAAGGGGATCTCTTGATCTTCCAAAACAAATGGGGAATCAAAAAGTTCACTGAAATTTAAATGCTTTAGGCAGGATCAACATATGAGTCGCTTAACTTACCTACTGAAAACCAAAATTGTACCGAAAAAATTCTCTTGAACAGGTGTGCTGAGGAAAGCCCGGCAATCCATTGTCCAATGCGTTTCATTGCGATTCAGAGCCACATCAACGTCACGCAAAATAGCCACTGCATAATATTCTATCAAAACTGGCTTCCAGATACCCATGGAAAGTGCTGCCGGATTCCATACTCCTCCAAAACTCATTTGCATTTTTCGAAGATGATTCCGATTACACTCCACATCGCCTGGAGCTCTTGGGCAACTGCGAGGACCTGTAACAACGCCTTTTTCATCTCGCTCCTGGGCTCTCCTAGCAGCCTCTTTTATTGGCGAAAGGATCTCGATCTCCAGAGTATTGCTAGTAGGTAACATCAAGTGGCCAATAGAAAAGGAGTATCGGACAAACATATTGTCCGTTTCGCCCAGAAGCTCTCCATTGAGGCGAACCTTGGAAACTGTGTCGATTCCATTTAAGGTCAAGTTCACCTGATCGTGACCTAGTTCCGTTCCTGCACCTACTCATTATTTTAGTATTATTTAAACTCTTGTTTCACATAAACTCACCATCAAAAGTAGTTGTGAAGATCCAGGATTCATTGGCTATCCATCGAAGGTTTACGTCGTTTTCGCCATACAACAAATCACCATAGGTATCCTTCAATGCCGAATAAACTCCCGTTGGGAAACGGGAGAAATCTATTTTTAAGGCTACGATAAAAAAAAGATACAAAGTAAAAACAAAAATCACTACCAAATCAAAATACAGTGTAAGCAATATTTATAGCCAATTAATTAGCCCACATACAAGCGTTATCATTAAGGCAACCCTGACGATGCTTCTTTAATCTTATCTCAAGCATACACTTTTTATTTATTTCTGGTGACGTTTCGACTGGGAACAATAATGGCATCAATTTTTAATGAATCACTTACAGGAGTTCTCATTTGTCAATGTCCATTTATTTAGTTCCTTGACGTGCACGGATTTCGCTTCCAGATTAGGGATAACGACGAGCAAAACACAAAAAGGGTACAGAAATCTCATCATATTTTAAGGTATTCCGTGAACATTTTATTCGCATTTATTTAATTTGACGCAATTCGAATCTTATCGACGGTGGTGAGCACTCTTTTTCACTTTGCGGAAAACACGTTAACGCTCCAAACCCACTTTGATTACTGGGCAATCACCTCGGTCTGCCATCAAAAACCCATTGATTGTGTATGGTGAAATATATAGTATCGACTCCGTGGTGGAGTGTCAATTGCCTATCGAACTTAGATTCGGGGGAATGTTCCTAAATCATTGAAGCTTTATCAAGAAATATGTCTACTTCAGTTATATGAACATTATAATTTTTAGGAGGATTTCTTTTAAACATCTTTTTTTGTTTAATTTCTTTCAGTTTTTCGGGCAGACAAGATGTTCGAGCGAATGAGATGTCTTGGATATCGTATGTTTGCAGTACCCGCTGGCTAGAATTTTGTAAGGATATGGCTTGACTTAAACACCAAAAGAATTAATGAAACGAAGAAAACTAATCTATAGCTGAACGTTTCTATCACTTAAGTTTTATTGGTTCTTAACCTATAATCCAAGGCATATAACTGTTGACATTCTTGTACACAGTCAGCCCGTCATGTTCGGAACTGGCCAAGCCAATTAGAGTGAAACCCAGCAGTGGTTTCAGTCAGTCTTCTGTTCTTCCTTCGAAAAATGCTATTTTAAAAGGGGCTCAGCCCAGCCAAATGGCGATGGTGCAATGCCGAAGACCAAGGATGGCCCAGAGGCAGTCTTTGGTGTCGCTTTCAAGAAGCCAAATATTCAAAAGTTGGGCTTTCTAGCTGCAAAGATTAAATAAACTCAACACCACAAGGGAATATTTATTTTTCAATTGAAAAACTTGAAATTTCGTAAAAATCAATTTAGAATGAATTTTGCAATGCGCTCATTTATTATATATTCTACACTACATTTAATGTTATAAGCAGTAATGGTGTATGCGAATCGGCATGTACTATTTACAAAAGCTAACCACTCAAGGACCCTGATTAAAACGCCGGATTTTTTTTACTGGGTCTACCGGCCAAACCTCATGTGACCATAGTCATCGAACTGATCGTCGCCGCCTCTTTTTCCGAATCTCATATGGCCGTAATCGTCAAAGCGTTTGGTTTTTGGACGGATTTCCTCGTCGGTATCCATTAAAAGATCCAGCTCGATAGGTATAATGGGACGTGAAACAATTGGCAATCTGTGGCCAAAGATTGTGGACCTCTGGTTGCGTCTATCGCCAAATCGAGAATGCAATGCTGGCTCCCGCGAGTATCCACTAGACTGTTCCGAATCCGTTCCGATTTTTGGCTCTATATCCTGTAGTCGCTGTTCCTCCTTGGCACTCCCAAGACTGGCCGTATGACTGGGCACAGGCATTCCTACCAAAAGGTAGAAGGCTACGGCCCATAAGGGTATCGCCAGGACAACTAACCGCGACCACGTCCTAAGTCCCATTCTTGGATATTGTGCGGGCAGACTGGTGGCCACCACTGGATGTGCATCCTTTTTATGGGACTCGGCAGGCTGCTTAATATTCCACTCCCGCAATGGGCAAGAATTGTCTGCTCCCAGAGCAACCCAATAAAATTATCCCTATGACAGGTTGACTTTTGATTGACATGATTGAGTAACTCTGTCATCAGGTGGACTTGTTTTGCTTCAACCGCTGGAAGAGATGGTAAAAATAATATTTAAATTTTTTTCATGCTAAGCTTCATCTATTATAATCTTATAAGCCTAAAAATGTACTCCATTTTATTTTTGTATTTTTGTAAATAAAATATTTTGTTGCATACTTTATGTGTCGTTTTATTTAAGACATAAAAAGAAACAATGTAATGGGACATGGCTATACCCATTTAGGCTCGACTTAGTTTAATAATATGAAAAATACAAAATATAATAAAAATAAAATAAATGTTAATATAAATAAATAGTAATAAATAGTTCTGCGAAACTTGTTTAAAAAACTCCTAATAAATTTTAACTGTGTCTGGCGACTTAAGTGTTTGATTGAATCTTCGTTTATAATGATTGGAATTTTAATATCTACGATTATAAAAATTGTTGTATTATTAAAATATTTTCTGGAATTTCTTTCAAGTATCTTTATTCCAATTCTTTAATTGAATTATTGTTATGGGAAAGATTAAGATAGTTATTCAAAAAGGTAGTGAAATTTTCCCAGGCAATAATTTTTTGCCTGCAATAATTTTCTTGCCCTCATTTCAGTTTATTGATATTTTAGCCTTCAAATGGATTTAGGAGTGGAAACAAAGGTGCTATTTTTTTTTCATTTTAATATTCATTGTGGAACTCTGCAAATCCTGCTTCGTCAGTGCTCGGAACTGGAGTGTCAAGTGCTGGCCCCTCCTTCTTAGCGGCCACATTCAGCAGTTTCGCTATGTTGGCTGTGTAAAGAATTCCATTTGCTAACTGGATTGTCCGCATTCCAAAGATTCAATCGCACGGTACGTCTCTATATATATATATGTGTCTAAATATATAGGCGCAGAGACCAATACATGGATGGACGACCAAATTAACAGCTATAGAGAAAAGTATCTACGAGTTTATCAATAAACAAACCGCAACCCAGGCCCGCAGCCTAAAGTTAGCTGCAGTCTAGGCTGCTACCAACACACACAGATACACACACTCTCACAGTGGCAGACACCCGTTGACAATGGTCAATAACCAGTCTTGGCAGTGGGTTCCAGCCAAATCAGTTGGATCTAAGTCTGCAAAAGCTCAAGAGGTGAGCAGAGAGCCACAAACGAGATCCACAAGCCCAGGCCATACTTCAGCTCAGCTCGAGCGGTTTGTTTTGGCCAATTGCGGAGGTGACGTACTGACCAAGTTGCAGGTGTTTTGTTACTCTCTTAAGAGTCTCGCGATAGGCTTGGGTCTTGGCTCTTTAAGCTCAATGGGTGGTGGATGTTTTATTATGCAAATGTAGGTGAAAGAAACCTTTCTGATAACTTATTTTGATCAAGCCACGTTTTTGATTGAACTCAAGATTTGTGGTAGTATGTGACAAAAAAACTTTATTAAGTGGCCGAGAAAACACATGTCCGCATTTTGAAGTCGAGGCCACCTGTATCTACTATTCTTATGTCTTTGATATTAATTACGTGAGATACGGAATGAAAGAGATACTGAATTATAAATCAGTGTTATGGTTGTTAATTTTATGGCGGCTTTCAAAGAAAATAAATTGTGGAGCTGTATATCGTATTAATTATTAATCGCTGTGGATTTTTTCAAGTACCTCGTTCAGCTTTAGGACTGGCTTTCAATAGGTTAACATAAGTGGCCAATTGGCTGCTCGACCACCTGACCAAGCAGGCGCTTTGGGGGACCTGTAAAACTGGACATGGAATGCTGCATTTTCTCGTTTCGTACAATGTGGAATTTCCATAAACCCCACAAAGCCAGTGTGCCGCTGACACACAGAGAGGCGGCCAACTTGGGCCTCCTCTTGGCCACCGATGTATGTGCAAGATTTTAAATTTTTTATTTATTTATTTTGGCTAAAGGCAGGCACGTGAATTGCGCAATTGAAACTGCAAAATCAATGCACACGAAGGCGCGCGAGCTGCCAATTTCGATTTACGTCTCTAGATTGGCAAGCTCTCACCTGCGTAGAATTAGGTAACTGTTCGGCTAAGGCTTCATAAGCTATATTTTTGTTGTTGTTTCGTTATGAACTAAACCGCGAACCCACGGTCCAGGGCCCTTCGAAAACCCGAACTTTAACAGGTGATTATCTTTCTCGCAGCAAGTGAAACTGGAAGTGAAATCGACTCTTTTTTTCTCCCGAAATTCTCCAGTGCATACATCTTTAGCCGTTGGCATCATCGTCAAAATTCAAATCACACCGCTTACTTGGAGGCCGGATAGCTGCGTTGCCAAGCTGAGATTGGGCCCAAAGTCCCCCCACATCAAGTCTGGAATTCATTTTCGAGTCGCCGCGCATTTGAATGCAAATCGATTTGGTTCGGGTATTTCTATTTGCATGCAAGGCGCTGTCTGCAATAGTTGAGCACATGATACTCGTAGTTTGCATGTTGCAAGCCCACTGACAAGGCTTCAGCCGAGGCCAACATTCCGCAATAATAATTCCTCCCCAGACATGGCACCCACCTCTTGACTTTTAGAACTCGCCTAGGTGCGGCAGGACAATGACTTCAAGGCGTGCAATCTTTGCTTTTGTTTGTTAACAGTTTTATTGTAGATACATATATAGTTTATTGTACATATTCGATTGCATATATGTACGTATGTATGTACGGTATATGCGTGTGCAATCCTCTTGCCATGGAGTATTTTACATTTTTGTGATCGCCATCCATTGGACTATGTATAGCATAATATTCTACAGTGTGTTCTAGAACGATTTATGTATGGTATGGTATCGGTATATCATGGACCACTAGCGAGCGCATATACTTTTAGTATAAACCTAATAAGGCACACATATTCATTTATGTAAAGTTGTGGTTTCACTCTGGGGGGAAACCGGCTTGAATTTTTTTCCATCTGGTGGGGGCTCCTTCCGCCGTCTGACCTCTGGCGTGTGACCCACCCTTTTCTAATTTGACCAGCATCGCTAAACGTTGTGTATATCTATGGGGATATCTCGGAAGCTTGAAAATCTAGTAATCCCATCGAATTTTATCTTCGCGGCTTTCCAAAACTGCTGGCCGGCCCCAGGGGACCGTAGATGGCATGTGGATGCGCAGGATGTGCATGGGGATGCGGCACGGGTCCCGGTCCATGACCCAGTCCAGGTCCCGGTCCACCTCCATTGGCCATCTGCATGGAGGCCTGTTTGCGTTGCAGGGTATTGGGACCCATGGGTCGTTCGCCGTCGTTCAGATCCAAACCGGCTACCATCTGGGCGATTTCGCGCTCCTTCTTCATGTCCGGCGGGTTGAACTGCAAACTGGCCAGGGATCCGTGGCTCCGGCTGCGGTGCTCCTGCCGAATGGAGTAGCTAAAGGCTCGCTCGTTCAGGTGACCCTTGCGCTGCAAAGATGGTAAAAAATAATATTTTATAAAATAAATTATTAAAAAAAAGATATATTGGGTTGGGTCATGAGTATTGAACTCGGACACTCACCTTATATATTCCCGTTCCACCTGGAGATGGGGACTCGGCTCCCGAGTTGCCAGAGTCGTCCAGGCCGTTGCCCATGGAGGCCGCCAGCTTCCTGCTGGAGTGGCTCAAAGGACGTGGCTCGCCGATCATCGAGTGGGCCATTTGTGGCGGGGGTCCTCCGCCCATGGCCTGCTGCTGGTGGTAGGCGTAGATTGGCGGCACAATGGGCATGCCCACCGGCACTCCGTTCTTCTTGTCCTTCTTCTTCTTCTTGCTGGTGGAGCGCGAGGGCTGCAGCGTGGCGTACTGCTGCGGCAGCATCACGGGGATCTGCATGGGAGGCATGCCGCCCGCCATGTGCTGGTGCATCATGTGTGCATGTGGATGGGGATGGTGGGGGGGCGCGAGGTGACCCATGTGGTTGGGCGGCGGTGGAGGGCCCGGCGGGAAGCCGCGATGACTGATCGTGTGGTAGCGGGATCCTGGCCCACTTACGGGACCGTAGATCATGCTCCCAGGTCCGGGAGGTCCCTGCATGCCGCCACGGTGCATGGCCGCCGGATGGATTGGCTTCGGACGGATTAGTGTTCCCGACAGGCTTTGGCTGCCACTGGACTTTGAGGACTTCTTGTCCCGCTTCTGCTTGCGCTCCTCCTTGACGGGTGGCGGAGGCACTTCGATGGGTGTGCTGATTTGACGTGCTCTCAAGGGGCGCCCCAATGTGGAGGTGTTGCCCGAAAACATTTCATAGGGGCTCTCCACGGCCCCAATGCTGTCCAGTTGGTCCTGTGATCCGCTCCAGACCTTGTGGTTTTCATCACCATTGTACAAGGAGGCATCGCCATCGTCGACTGTAACGTTTAGGTCAGCGCTACTACCATAAACTGGAAGAGAAATATATATGTATTTAATTAAATATTTTAGAATAATAATCTGAAGAGAAGTATTCTGATCACTTCAACACGTACTTGTCGTTCTAAAAATTAATGGAATTCATGTGCTTAGTATTTCAAAAACGTTTGCCATTCAAAACGAGCAACTTCATGGCCTTAAAAACAAAATAAATGATCTTCTATTTGTTGTTGCCTTGCCCAGCTTTATTTACATATTGAAATCAATACATTGTACCCTGATTAGATGCTAATGGAAAGCACCTTAGCACTTGAGAGCCAGTATTGTCAGATTTCCCTCGACCTTCATGGTCCGCGGATGCTGCGCACTGACCATTGATATTCATTGTGGGCTGGAGGGTGGAATGAGGTGGCTGGAACGTGGGGAGGTGGACTGTTTAGGGCCCCAGACCTTGGGCGTACGTACTTCTCTCACCTTTGGAGCTGCCGCTGAAGGCAGAGTGCTGAGTCATTGGACAAA